TGGTTCAGAACAAGGATATGAAGATATTTTGGAAGAAAGTCAAAGGGCACTCCAAGATACCTGGTCAAGAGAAAACTGGGAACGACCAAGCAGATGCCATAGCAAAAGTGGGAAGCCTGGAAGGCACCCCGTGGAAGCTAGAAGACCAAACCGACAGAGACGAACAACAAGAGTCGACGAACCAAGACATCGCCGTGATAAGACTGGTCACAAGAAGTGGGAAGAACCCGGCAGAAGCTGGAACCAGAGCCCAATTGAACAGTGCCCAGCCTTCCGAAGACCTGATCAGAATGCAACAAGAGGACGAAACACTAAAGACACTCGCCGATCATATCCAAGATCCAGCAGGAAAACCAATCACTACTGACAACTTGAATGACAACAAAGAGCTCGAGATCATGCATAGCCAAATCAAAAGGTTCTCAATGCGAAAAGGGCTACTGGTATACACAAACGAAAAAGACGGTCGACCTAGATGGGTAGTCCCCTCTCAATATCGAGAAATAATGTTACAACACGCCCACAATGAACCGTGCAGCGGCCACCGATGCGAGGTGAATACGGGACAGATGCTGCGACAGGTGGCCTACTGGCCAAAAATGGGGGAAGACATACACAAACATGTGTCCAACTTGTTGAACAGTAAAGAATTCCATATGGTGAAATTATCCCTCAGCGAATCAGAGATTAACATAACAGATCTTACTTGGGCGACCGAAGAGGCTGGATATCAGCGAAATCAACAGATGGGGATGGGAATCACAGGGGCAACAGGGATGATCATACTAGTCCTGGCTATTCTAACCTTAACATACCATGTGGCCAAAATGAATGCCGAACTTAAAAGACTAATCGCAGGGACAAGCCACCTACCATTCAAGCCCAGGAACAGGGATGGAGCCAAGGCCTGATGATGCCACCCAAGAATAACCGTAGAAACTATCTTTTTAACGATATCTCCTATAACACGTAGTCAATAGAATAATTTTCCCTCCCTTATCGTCTTACCTTCCTTTAGAATATTTTTTCTCTCTCTTGTCACATATAACCTGTTAAGTTGTGACACGTACGCGCGCGTTGTAAGGAATAGCAGCAAAACTTGAGGACAATCGATGGTTCATGAAGGAAGAAGGGTATACATTTTTAAAAATAACCCGTGGCCATTTGACCACTGGTCATTTTTAAAAGGGCGGAATGTTGTATCCTAACCCTTCTTCCATAATTGAGATTAATAATATTTGATGATTTTTATATATTATCTTTTACTTGTTTTTTTAATGAGTGAAACACACCAAAGCGCACCAAACTGCAAAACACCAGGTGTTGTTAAGTAATGAACGAAAGGAGGGCTAGGATGACAGAATTGCAACCTTGCTTCAAGGCAAAGGCAGTGAAAGGAAGCAGAGGCGCCTTTGTCTAAGTCATAACCACAGAAAGCCAGGAATCATCACTGATTGTGTGTTAGGGATTCCGAGCTAATTAGAACACGTGCACACAGAAAGGGAGGTAGAAGCACGCCTTGTTCTCCTGCAGCTGAGGAAACAAAGATAAACCCAAAAAGGCCTTGGACCTGAAATTAAGAATAACATTCCCAGAGCAGAAGGTTGGAGGGCCACAGGGAGCTGATTTAAAAGAGTGTTGTATATCTCTCAAGGCGGGCAAGACCCAGCTGAATAACAAGCCTGCGGGGGTCACCAGAAGTTCACATTCGCCTAGTTAAGACAAAAAGCTCAATTATTCTGTATTGCTATTAAAGTAACGTTAAAGTCGGAATTTAACAACAGGGTAGGCTAAAGTTATTGATATTCACACCCACTCCAATTAAACCAGGCCACAAGTTACGCCTACTGAACCATCACCATCATTAAGTCAAATGAAATGTTATTTCCATACTTTAATACTTTTTATGCAACTCGACCCGAAGCATATGACAATCAGAACCTTCCTAAGTCAAAATTGAATCGCACCCAGACAGGAGCGAATATATCATATATAAGGTTGAAGAGGGAAGGAAATTAAGAGCACGGCGGCAGACAAAAACCAGAACTGACTCCAAGGCTCAACCGCCCTCACCTCAGGAGTGACGGAAATTAATGAGGCCTTGAACAACGGCCAGCTGGACGGCAACAACAACGGCGAGCAGAGATAGGGTGGGGCAAAGACTGCGGGGCTATGAAATGCAACTTCGTGTCAGTAAAGCTCTGACAAACAAGTTAAGTTAAAGACATCACAATACATAATATCTACATAACATCAATGTTAACGCTATTCACCGTAAACTAAAGTAAAACTTATGAAAAGCCAGGATAACGGGATGAATCACCACCAGGTCGAATATAATACATAATAAAAAAACGATGTTAAACCCAGGGTCGGAGAGAAAGGGAGATCCCGGCCGTCTTTGTATCTCCGCCGCGCGGGATAGGAGTGTGTATACGCTCGGGGAAACACCTCCACTTGAGTCAAGCACCACGATGGGAAACGACAGACCTTAGGTTACATACAGAATCATAACTGTGAAATAGTAAGGGACAAATGTTAACTTAAAACTTCTTAACCATTTCTTTGTGCGCCGGGTCGGAGAGAGTGTTGCCCCTCCCTCCAGGTGGTGCAACACGAACAAAGACGCCTATGAGACGATTTGTAACGTCTGTGTTTTGGGTTCATGAAGAAGGCCAGACAAGAGATAATATTGCACCCAGACAGAGAGACGACCTCGAGGCAATTTGTAACACCTGATTGTTTGCTCGTGGGTTCTATGGAGGGAGTGGGACAACGGAATACCGTGAGTGATGCACACAAGGACATACGGACGTACGGACACACACATGGACACACCTGCCTACGGACAGATCCTGACACAGCAAAAATCGAAAAGAAGCCCCGCCTTGTGGGCGGGATCCAGGGGGATTTTTCGGCATAAAGGAAAGGATCCTGAGCATTGGAAATCAGTGCGACCAGTGGGTTGGCTCAAGAACGAGTGCGACCAGAGGGTCGACTCAGGAGTGCGACCAGCGGGTCGACTCAGGAGTGCGACGGGAGGGTCGACTCAGGAACGAGTGCGACCAGAGTGGGTCCACTCAGGAGTGCGACCAGCGGGTCCACTCAGGAGCTCGACCGGGAGGGTCGACTCAGGAGCGAGCTGCGACCAGCGGGTCGGCTCGACTCATCTTCAGCTCGTCAACCTCTGCCGAATCGGGGGTCTCTGCTGCCACCGGAGTGGTGAGCATCGCGGTTCGGCGACAACCCAGAGCTGCACGCTACGAGCGAGTTGTGGGCGCCACCTACCGACCGGGTTCCGAACTGCGACAGCGTATCAACAGCCATCCGAACCAGTTCGCCACGGTGACAGGGGATCGACTGATACGTATGACGCGCACCGCCCCCTCACCACACGACCACCAGGCGTCTGTTTGACCTAAAGAATCGACTCCGAACACTGACTATTCAAGACAACTCTTACCACTCAAAAACACTCGAACCCATAAGCCATCCGTGGCTGGAAAGCATCACAACGAGACCGAGTGATGGCCCTCCGTCGTTTATAAGAGTATTCTTAATTTTTATCTTTAATATTTAGTGGGCTGTACTCTTAATCGCATAAATTCCCAACAGATCCATCAATACGAACTGATTCTTGGCACCTCCTTCCGCCGAGCCACGCTCACGTGGGGAGTGGTGGCCCACCGGATCCTTATCAGGTGATCTGGTCCCCAATTAGTAAACTTGGTATAAGATAACGAGCTTCGGAAAAGGAGCACCGTCGCAGGCCCTTACTCCGAGCCGTTCTGTTGTCAGATAACCTGCCGATGTATCTGTTGAGATTGGTGCCTTTAAGAATAATAACTGTTTTTGATTGTGTTTTTATCGCCGTATAATCTTTCAAGTATCTTTTAATCATAATCGCCGCACGTACTCGCATCCTCTACAAAATATTCAACTGTCCCGTGACCCAAGGTGCTAACAACGTGATAAGGGTTGCGTATGATCAATAAGGAGTGCGGTACTGCGTGAACAATATTGAGTATAATCATTCATTAACGTTAAGGTTTTCTTAGCATAGTATTTGCATGTTTTAACGACTCTTTCTCTCACTAACAACCATCGCGTTATGCGGGATCCATGTGCCGTTGTCAAAGTGAAATCAGACAATCGTTGATGATACTGTATTGATGCCGTGTTGACGTTCCGGGATTGAGAGTTCGCATACTATATCATAGTTAAGGTTGAATTAGTAATACATTGATCAATACAGAAGTGGTTGTGTGATTCTTTCCTGAAATCTATGCATAAGATCTGCTTCTGCGTTGAGATCTGAACTTGGTGACCTTAATAAACACACTAACACATACTCAGTAAATGTTAAAGCGATAACGGGGTGAACCGGGGACCTAAAATATAACCACGAATACACACTCTGGGAATGTTAAAGCGAGAATGAGACGAACCTAGACAACGATGCCGAGTTAATCTAAGTTAATCTTGCATACTTACACCACACCTGCATAACTGCATACGATTAATTGCCTTATTCCGATCGATAACCCACCCTCATCACCGAGGCGGGGTCTGGTTATCATAACGACTTGCATTATCATAATTACACCCACTCGCATAATTAATACGATTACCTCTCGAATTGGCATAATTAAAATGTGCGTAATTACATAAATTAACATATTTCCGGATAATTACACATTTGGCCAAATTTCATTTAATTATTATTATTTTCACTGAATATTCATAACCCACATATACAACATAATAATTTCACCCACGCACGCATACAACATAACAAATTTTTATAACCAACATATACAACAATGGGCATGTGAGCGAGCGGGCGTGTGAGCGAGCGGGTGTGTGTGTACGAGCGTGTGAGCAAGTGTGCGAGTGAGCATGAGCACGAGCGGGCAGGCGGGTGTGCGAGCGAGCGAGCATGCGGACGGACAGACATGCGAGCGAGCGAGCATGAGTGAGTGAGCGGGAGGGACTCGCACCCGCAGCTTGTCGAGGTCCTCGACAACCTTGATCTTGGCGCAAGCGAGCTTCTCACACAGCAGATCGTAGTACGTGTCTGGCACCGACATGAACTCCATGCCACGCTTCTTCAGGTTGACGATCTGTGGCGACGCCGCCACCATCACCACAACAAACACAGTTACCACCACGATCATCACCACCACGGTCACCACCACCACGGTCACCAATGCCAACACCATAACCAGACCACAGTCACCACCACCACGACGATCAGCACCGCTGCTGACTTTCACTACATCACCGCAATCATCACCACTGCCGCCGCCATCACCATCACCACGGTCGCCACCAACCACAAACTCAATCATCGCCACCACCATCCACCATCACTACCACAAACACAATCGCCACTGCTGGTGGTGAGTGGACTCGTGTGGGGCGAGTGGTGGACTCACGTAGAGGTGAGAGTGGAGGTGAGTGGTGGACTTGTGTAGAGGTGAGGGTGGAGGTGAGTGGTGGAGGCGAGGGACGTGCGCCGAGGGACTCACCGACGTGATGATGTCGGAGCTGTTGAGGGCGATGTGCTGCACGCCGGCGCCACCGTTGTAGTCGACGTACTCCTGCGGGTGCGCCGTAGACGCGGGTCAAGTGGCGCGACAGCCCCATGTGCGACGCACGATAGACAAGACATGACGGTACCGACGATTCGGTGCAGATACAAGACAGACAAGACCGTTGTCTCGCGAGGCAGGCAGTACCGGCGAGACGGACAGCAACGCACATGGTACAGGCAGGCGAGAGACACGCTGCAGACCAGTCGCACGGGCGGGCAGGTGGACGCGCCACCAAACACGCCAGGTGAGAACGCGCTCTCCAACCCCAGATCGCGGCGAATCGTTCAAAAATCTCGGGGGGGGTGGCGGGGGGAGGGGGAATTCGTTCCGGGCCGACTCGGAGGCACCCACCTGGATCTGGGACTTGCGCTTGGAGACGGCAGGCTCGTTGATCGGCATCTTGATGGTCTCCTCGTAGTTGGAGACGACGATGGAGCGCAGCGAGCTGTACTCCGTGTGCACCTGCTTGTCGTCCACCGACCAGAACCGGTGGAACAGGAGGTTCCGGTGGTACCTGCGGTGGCGGTGGAGGGGGGCCACGACACAGAACTCAGCACGTCGCTCGCACACTCAGTCCCCACTACTGTGGGGGGACGGGTAGGGTCAAGGGGGAGGGTAGGGATGAGGGGTAGGGTCAGGAGTGAGGGGTAGGGTCAGGGGTGAGGGGTAGGGCCAGGGGTCAGGAAAGGGGTATGGGTTGGGAGTAGGGTTAAGGGTAGAGTTAGGAGCTAGTGTGTGAGTTAGGGCAATGGTCAGGGGTAGCAGTATGAATGGGGATTTGTATGAGGGTTGAACTACGGTTACGGTTGGACTGGGGTTAGTGCTAGGACTATGGCCTGCGTTACAGCGAGGCTTGGGGTTTGTGTTCGGCGGTCTGGGGTTCGCGCGTGCGACAGGTGTGTGGGATAAGTCTGTGGTGACGGTTAGATTTAGGATCTGGTTATGGATGGGTCCAGCCACAGATAGGGTTTAGGGCTACGGTGAGCGTGAGTACTTGGTGCGGTGTTCTGCTAGTTCTCTGGTTTCGGGTTATAAATACAGGGTGCTTCAAAAAAATCTGAACACTTCTGAGAATTTGCAATAACACCACGAGAGATGTGCCTCCGGGCTCTGGAGACCACCTGGAGAAGATTCCAGGCGTGCTTTGACAACGATGGCGAACAAGTGGAGACTTTTTGAAGCTGTTAACATTACATTTGTTATCATGTTACGGTGTATTATCCGTTCTTTGCCATTAAAAACGATAGTCACATATAAGTGTGAAAGAAAAATTTAAGCACCCTGTATATAATATAAACCGATATTGTATAGGTAGAGGTGAGGGTTAGGGGATAGGCTTAGGTGTGTAGCTGGGGATTAGTTTAGGGATTGATTCGAGTCGTGGGTCTGAGAGCCGGTCGCTTAGCCTCCATCTCACTCGGCTATTCCCATCCTCACCACTCGACCACGGACTCCATGTTATCCTCGGGCATGTTCCCCACGATGTGGTCGATGAAGTGCAGGTGACACAGAGGCCTGGGGGGGGGGGGGGTGGGGGGGGGCACGGCATCGTCATCACCACAACCGAAGCGTCACCACACGGCATCATCATCACCACCCTTGGCGTCACCACACGACATTGTCATCATCACCACCACCCTCGGCATGACCACACAGCATCATCATCATCACGACCCTCGACTCGAGATCGTCATTTCTCTCAGCTCCAGTCCTCGTGACCCCCGCGCAGTCTGCTCATAATCTCCGATGCATCGCGAGCGGCGGCGGGGGGGGAGTTTCTATTCGGCCGTTCCTCGTGTTCACGGAGGCTGGGAGCCAGGGCGGAGTGCGAGACAAGCAGACAGCCACGAGCTCATCAGCATCGCTGCCCCTGAGCTATTGAATGGCCCGATGCAGAATAACTGCTTTTTGTGTCTAAATTTCGATTTAAAGCTTTCGTGACTGCAGGGATTCATCTTCTTGGTTCTTTCGGTAAAGTCACGTAAAATGGAAATAATAAAATAATAAAAATAAAACATAATAAAATAATTCTCACGACGTTTCGGCCACAACGCAAGCAGCCGTCCTCAGGTGGAAAACAGGTCTGTCGAGGAGACAGAGTCTGAATGACAAGCCCCAGGCTTGGAGCGACTATTTAAGCTGGGATTTTGTGTCTAGTTTGTTGTCCTTCACTGCACGTCCAATTAGCGCGGCTGGCTACGTACGGTGCGAAAGAAGTTCAACGCATTCAGAAGATCCCCGGATTCGATCTCCGCCCTGAAGCTTCTGGGCCACAGGCCCTGAGCAGCATCATCTACTGCACCAACCATGACAGCTGTAGCAGCAGCTGTAGCAGCAGCAGCAGCTGTAGCAGCAGCAGCAGCAGCTGTAGCAGCAGCAGCAGCAGCTGTAGCAGCAGCAGCAGCTGTAGCAGCAGCAGCAGCAGTTACCTGATGATGGTGATGACGGTGATGATTATTGTGTTTAAGTGTAGAATTTAAATCTCTCCGATCAGTGTGCGGTGACTGTGGTCACCACCCAGAACAGGATCATGGGAACATTAAATACGACCCCAGTGCCCGATTCACAAAACCGAAGGGGGGAGGCGTCGGCACAGCGATGCGGCACTCCGCCACTACCGACTCCGCGCTCATCCGGCTCAGCCACCGCAAAGTAAAGTTACGGCTGTTGCTCTCCACCAACATCAGCCACACGAATAAGCTGATCTTATTTTATATGTCCAGAGGCGCCTCAGCTCAAGATGCTTTAGGTAGTTTCAAAGCGGACACAAAAGTACGTAGAGCGATTTAGATGGCAAGGGCAGTGCAAGGGCCGATAAATGAGTGACCGTAACAGAGGGAACGTGGGGTTCACAAAAGGGCTACAGGGGAGGGACGGGATGGAGTGGAGGGGCAAGGGGCGAGGAAGAGGAAAGGAATGACCAATGGAAAGGAGGTGCTGCGCTTTAAGAGATGAACGAAACGTATGTATATTCTTGGTTCTTTCGGTAAAGTCACGTAGAAGGGAGATAATAAAATAATATTAATATATTTGTATTATTTTATTATCTCCCTTCTACGTGACTTTACCGAAAGAACCAATAATATGAATCCCTGCAGTCACGAAAGCTTTAAATCAAAATGAAACGTATGTATGTTGAACTTCTTTCGCACTATACATAGCCAACCGTGCTAATCGGAGGTGCCGGGGGAAGGACACCAAAGGGGTTTCCCCCACCGCCCCCAGCCCATCCCCTCCACGGCGCCCCGACTCACAGTGTGGGCAGCATGGGGTCCCGGATGAGGGGAGCTTGGAACCCCGGGAGGAAGAGCCCCTTGTAGGCGCTCCTCTCCACCAGGGTGTGCGTCGTGTCCCCGTACTGCACACACGCGAGGCACGGGCAGAGCAGGCGGGCATCACGTCTGCGGGTTCGTTCTTCCGTCCGTCTGGGAATGAAACTTCCCACGCTCTTCCCTCCTCGCCGCGCCCGATCATCGGCATCTTCATCAGCGGTGATCTATCCGCTGCTGGATGAAGGCCTCCCCATGCTGTCGCCATGTTTGTGGTGGTTGCTAAGCGTGGCCCACGGTCACGTGGTATAATAATAATAATAATCACAATTCATAATTATATTATTTCGCGCCATCGTTTATGCAAATTGCAATCTGACATCACTGTCAGTCATTATCACGGGGAGCAAGTTTCCGCACACGGAGGCGTGTGGGGAGCCACAGACGAGCGCTGGGGAAAGGCGGCCAGGACCGGCGTCGCCGCCCACAGGTGCCCAAGCTCTGCCGTCCTCTGCTGGGAATGTCTGCGGCCAAATCGACGATTCCGTCCGCTCACCGTCTGCAGCACGGCGAACTTCACCGTGCCGAACTCGTCCTCCTCCACCCACGGCTCCTTCACGATGTGGGCGCCGCGCTCCCGCGCTACCTGTGTGTGCGTGCGCGTGTGTGCGTGCGCGTATGTGTGTGCGTGTGTGCGTGCACGTGTGTGTGGGTGTGTTGCCATGCCGTGTGGATGTGGGGGGAAAAGGGGTGGGGGGGGGAGCGTGGTGGTTATGGGGAGATAGCGCGGCTCCTTCTCCTCTGCTGCCCCCCCACCCCCCCCACAGTCTGACACTCACTCCTTTTACCCCTGTTCCAAGTCCAGGCCCAACACTTTGGCTCTTCTCTGCCCAGTGACCGGCTGCTTCTCTCAATTCTGTAAAATCCTTTTGCTTTGTAGGAGCCACGGCCGAGCAATTTTCCCGTCTCGGCCGCCTCCCTCCCCGTGTGCTATCACTGTCCCCGCGCCTCCCACCCGCTGCTGCGTCTCTCCGTCTTGGGTCTCCCGCCCCTCTCCTCGCCTCCCTCCCCATGCGGCCGCTGAGGCGCCCGGGGACACCTGCCAGATGAGGCCCCCATTGAGGGCCCCTTGACCTTTTCTGAGCACCCCCCCCCCCCCAACTCAGATTTGAGGCCCGAGGGAAACTGCCCACCTGCCCCCCCCCCCCACTCCTCGATTATGTGTGTACGTACATTGAGCTTCTTTCACGCCGTACGTAGCCAACCGCGCTAATTGGAGGTGCGGGGGAAGGACAGCAAGCTGGATACAAAAAGCAGTTCTAGAGAGGTGAGTTTTCAGTCTAAATTTAAAAGTGCACAGCTCCAGCGGCTTCCTAATATCGGAGGGAAGAGCGTTCCAGACGGCCGCAGAGGCGCATCTGAAAGCGTGCGATGCGGTGATCGTCTTTGTTCGATGGCCAGCCAAAAGCCGTCTCAGCAGCTGCGAGGATGACCGGAGAGGTGTCTACGGCCTCCCTCGCCACATCTCCCACCTCCCGTCTCCCTCCGTCCCCCCCCTCTCTCCGCCGTCTCTCTGTCCCCGCGGCCTTTCCCCCCTGCTCCTCGTCACCTGCACCAGGGCGTCGCAGTCCTCCACCGTGAAGGCCACGTCCTTCACCGCGTCGCCGTGCTTCTCCGCGAACGCGCCCATCTCTGTGGGGACGTCACCGCGCGTCACCCCACGTCACCCGTGTGTCTTGTGTCCTCGTGTCCCCATGTCCTTGTCTCCCGTGTCCCCACGTCCCTCTGCGTCCGCTTGTGCTAGGTGACCACGTGTTGTTGTGCCCCTGTGACTCCATATCCCTGTGGCTCCGTGTTGCTCTACCCCTGTGTCTATTATCTCGTGTATTCCGTTTCCCCGTGTTCCCATCTCTCTGCGTCCGCTTGTCCCAGGTGACCCCGTGACCCCATGTCCTTGTCTCCCGTGTTCCCACGTCCCTCTGCGTCCACTTGTGCTAGGTGACCACGTGTTGTTGTGCCCCTGTGACCCCATATCCCTGTAGCTCCGTGTTGCTCTACCCCTGTGTCTATTATCTCGTGTCCTCCGTTTCCCTGTGTTCCCATCTCTTTGCATCCGCTTGTCCCAGGTGACCCCATGACCCCGTGACCCCGTGACTCCGCAGTGAATGTGATGCAGAATGGAGACCAACGCAGGCACCGACCCTTATTGCCAGGGTTGAGCGCCGACTGGAAGACGAAGATGATCTGCAGGGATCAAGACCGACATCGTCAAGGGGATGATGACAATGATGACATTTGAGGTGTGTTCGATGGCGGAGGTGTAGTGGTGGTAGTCGCGTGATGTTGGTGGTGTTGTGTTATTTCAGTATATGTGATGTTAACCGCAAGGTATGAATCTCACCGTGTTAATCTCATCGTGTGAATCTCACTGTTTCAATCTCATCGTGTGAGCTCACTGTTAATATCAGCGTATCAGTCTCGCCGTGTTGATCTCTTCGTGTGAATCTGTGTTCATCTCATCGTGTAACTATCACCGTGTGAATCTCAATCTGTCAATCTCACTGTGTTCATCTCACCGCGTTAGTCTCGGTGTGTTAGTAATGTCGGTGCGGTTAACGATATCGGTGCTAACCATCACCTTGTCTTGCCGCACCACGTGCGTCACGACCTCGCGGCTTCCCGTCTCCAGGCCGCGGTAAGCCAGCGCCTCGCAGCCCAGGCGCGTGCAGTAGAACGTGGCCGCCTGCGCAGAGGTCAAGGGTCAAGGTCAGGGAACATCAGAAGGGGTGAAGCATGGGAGGGGATGGAGGTTGGTGGTGGACTCAGAACATCCACCCCCGATAACAGTGGCTCACTTATTGTCATCCGCATTGCGCGACCCAGATAGCGCGGTATCGCCGCTCAACCCAATGCCCCACTCGACCACGCTCCACCGTGCTCAACCACGCTCCACTCAACCATGCTCACGATGCCACGGGGCCCAATACAGGTGCGCCAGGTATGGGCATGGGTAGGAGGTATTCGGTATGGAACGTGAGTATAGGGCGTAAGTGAGGGCATGGGTCGGGCATGTCCATGTGGCATGGGTACTGTATAGGATGTTGGCCAGGGCGTGGATAGGGAAGCACAGCTGTTGGGTGTGGAACACGAGCACAGGTCAGGGAGTAATAGGACGTCGGTCAGGGCATGGATACGATACGTGTGGTGGGCAGTGCCGGATTATCCCAGTAGCAAAAGTAACATATGCTACGGGTCCCGCACTTTCAAGGGACTCGCGCTAAAAGCTTTCAAGTTATCAATTCCGTTTCAGTGATTCTGCACTTGCTCTATTACTATAGTACTATACCGCCTTCAGCTTTTATGAACGACTGTGTGTTTAAGCTGGATTTGAAGCTGTCGTGACTGCATGAATCCATACTCTTTGATTCTTTCGGTAAAGTCACGTAGGTAGAAAAATAATAGATCACGACGTTTCGATCGCAACACAAGCAATCGTCATCAAGTGGGACAACCACAGCAAGAAAAAAACTGCTACTTCAGCGAAAGAACCAAAGAGTATGTGTGTTTAAGGTGAGCGATTTGTCGTATTTGGCTGTTTTGCAAATGAAAAAATACAATTACTTTACTATGCAAGCAATAAATTTGTGTTTGATTATTTAAGTGTTTTTTTGTATTTATGGCCCCTTTATAACAAATGCTACAGGCCCCGCACTAGCTTAACCCGGCACTGGTGGCGGGGTGTCACAGGGTGGTTATAGGGCACGGGTTTTGGGACATGTCTATGGGGCGAGGGGCGGGGCCAGTGTGCGGGGGGCACGTGTAGGTCAAGTGGGGAGGGGGGGCGGCTACGGCCAGGAGCCAATGGCCACGTGGGGGGTCGTTGCGCGACCCCTCCGAGTCGGCGGCGGTGGCTGCGGTTGCTTCATCGCCCGCGGATCTGGGATCGGTCGCTGTGTTTGTGAGCGATCCGCCCCTCGCGCACGACCAATCGAGACCACGGCCGGACCACCACCCCCCACCACCCCCCCACCTACACCACCACCACCCCCCCACCACCACCACTTCGCTCCCACCACCACTTCGCTCCCACCCATCGGGGAAGGGGAACTCACGTCTCCCCCAGACCCCCCCCCCCCCGCACCGCCCACATCAGTTAGGAATTAACTCGGACCAGTGGGGGTCAATGCATTGGGACCTCAATTCTGCCACGGGAACAACAGCGGGCGGAGAGTGGCCGCGTGCGGCGCCGCGGTCACGTCCCGCGCGTAGCCGCGAGTAGTCCCTCCGAGAAAGGGGATCGCGGTGGCGGATTAATTTCCACAATCGTCATAATGGGATCGGGACGAATCGCTCGCCAAGTGATGATGACATGAGATGCGACGATTGCAAACATGGTTTGGTGGTGGTGGTGGTGATGCCACGTGTGATGCCACTGATCCGGTGATATTAATTCTGAAAATGCATTGATTCATTCTAAACATTCATCGATGTTCATTTTTATTTTTTTCCGCGCACGGGTGGAATCCATTCCCGGTCACGGCTAACATTTAGTGGCGAGCGCCATATCTTGGCGGCGACCGGATCCCTCCCGATCACCTTCACAAAGCCGCACTGACCAGCGCGGTGAAGTATGGTCAAACAAGCCACATGACCGACACTTTGTGCATGCCTTCGTGTAGCAGTGGATTGTCAACGTTGATTGCGAATCATTATTATTACTGGGGACGTGCAGGAGACGTGACGGATGACCCCCAGTGGAAGAGAGCCCAGACCTGTTCTCCCAGGAGGTCATGTTTGGGCTTATTTGGCAACAAAAAAACCCGCAAGAAGTTCACGACGCCGACCTGGAGCCGCAAACCCGTGCAGGAGGTGAGGAGCGGTCGTGGTGGGGGTGCCTGATGTCCCTGGTGTGTGCCGTGACTGCGTGGTGACTGCGTGGTGACTGCTTCGGGAGTGGAGGCGCGGTGGTCAGCAGCGCGCTGCGCTACCAACAGAGTTCGATTCCCGCTCACGGCCAACTCCGGTGATGATTATCTGAACCGGCCCTGGGCGCCTTCCCCTAGATCGACTCGGCCTCAAATGAGTACCTGGTGCGGTGTGTAAACATCGCCACTGGGGATACAAAGGCGGCCGGGCGTGGTACTGGCCACCCACCCCTTGTGCCGTGCCGGCCTTCAAGGGTGCTCGTTAACGGCACTTGCCCCAACAGTCTGCGAAGGCTATACGGGGAGGGGGACGTTTGGTGAATGCCCGGCATGACCAATGTCTGCTGCTGTATCTGCTGTTGTCTACCGCGTCTGTTGTGTCTGTCCATCTCGTCCCCACTCCGCCCACCCCTGGACACCACTGTGTACCACATTCCTACACTCATTACGCCCCGCGCCACCCGCCATGGACCCCCCCACCCTCCCACTCACCCTCCCACTCACCCCACCCACACGCCCAATGAACGATAATAACATGAGCAAGCAGGGAATCCTCCTGCTTCACGGATCTGTCCCTCCACCAAAACAACGGTGCAGAGGGAGTGCGTCTTATCAGCAGCGTGGGGTCAACGCGAGCGAAACTCTGGGCGAGTTTTGGCAAACGGCGTGTCGTCAGCAGCAGTCAGGCTTTCTTGTATAATAACACTGGTCAACACACTTTTTCTGGCATAAGGTATTCCAACGGTTTTAAGGTAATTTTGGGGTGCTGATTCCAAATCTGGCATCAGTTTTTGTCTATCACATCAGGTTTTTGAGATATCAAATATTGCATTTTCAATAAAAACTGCGGAAGAAAAATATTAAATAAATGTGGATATCTACATAAAATGATATTATAAACACACTATCCTAAAAATACAGCACCATATTTTAACTCTAAAGCAGTCACTGACTCGCAACAACTTGCAATCATAAGTGACAGAGTTAATTTCGGGTAAAATCAATGAAAATGGGGTATGCCGATAGCATAAAAATAATGTGATAGAGCAAATCTGAGATCAGATTTGGAATCAGCACCCTGAAATTAGTCTAAAACAGCTGCAAAAGTCCAGGCCAGAAAAAAATGATTTTTTGTTGACCAGTGTTATTGATGGCGAACGACCAGATGCCTGCAGGCAAGGCCCCTCCCTCTCTGTTCGATATGTGTTGTCCTGGTTCGTACAATTAATACCACAACACAATCATCAGCATCGTTGATAATGTAAACGAAAAAGGATTTTTTTTGTCTGAATGGGCTATCGTCATCCTCGACTATCTTCAATCCACTATTGAATGAAGCCCCCTCCCCCCCCCCAACGTCTCCATCCCTGACGATCCTACGATACCACAATCCATCTTGCTCCAACACGCGAGTGAGTTTCAAGTCAATGTTGTTGAACCAGATGTGGGGGTGGAGTAGGTGAGTGAGTGAATGTGAGTGAATGGGGTGGTGGGTGGCTGAATGAGTGTGCTGTTGTGACCGACAGCGTGGTGAGTGAACGGTGTGAACGCGCGTGCATTTGGGCTCTGAACTGGCTGTGCATAGGGCACGCGTGCGAACGAATGGGTGGACGAATGCGTGAATGAACGATTGCATTAATAAGTAAATGAGCGCGAACACGTTGCTGAACAAATGGTTGAACGAGTACAAACGAGTGAAAGAATGAGTGGCGTCGCAAGCTGTGGTAGTGCTGGATCGTGATTGGTGGGCGCGTGACACGCCCTCCAGGTCTCACCTGCTTGGCGTTTCCCACCCATAGCGTCACGTGGTCAAAGTTCAGGTATTTCCCACGCGCGTGCTGGGGGGCAAGAGAGGGAGGGAGGTGAGATGGGGGGGGGTCAGTAGGAGATGGGGAGAGAGATAAGACTCGGGGAGAGAGATGGAGATGCATTGGAGGTGGAGCTGGTGGTGAGGGAGAGGGGGAGGTCGGGGGGGGGGGTGGAAGAGGTGGAGGAGAGAGACGGCAGTGATGGAGGAAGATGAGGTGGGAGCTGGGTTCACACGCTGCTCCGCTCAGCGTCCTCAGGAGTGAGTTTTGACTGCGTGAGGCTCATTGAGCCAAGCCAAGGCGCCCCGAGCAGTAGTATCGCATTATCGTAGGAGCAAAAGTAGCTACATATCCTACGGGCCCCGCACTTTCAAGTGCCCTGCGCTAAATGCACTTGCTCTCTTACTATAGTAATATACCAGAGGTGTGGACTCGAGTCATGTGACTTGGACTCGAGTCAGACTCGAGTCATGAATTTGATGACTTCAGACTCGACTTGGACTTGCATAACAATGACTTTGTCCCACCTCTGTAATATACCGCCTTCAACTTTTATGAACGACTGGGTGTTTAAGGGTAGCGATTTGTCGTATTATCTGGCTGTATAGCAAATTAAAAAATATATACATCTTCTTGGTTCTTTCGGTAAAGTCACGTAGAAGGGAAGTAATAAAATAATACAAATAATAAATAAAACATAATAAAATAATTCTCACGACAGCGTCAGACGCTGTCTCCCCGACAGACCTGTTCTTCACCTGAGGACGGCTGCTTGCGTTGTGGCCGAAACGTCGTGAGAATTATTTTATTATGTTTTATTTTTTTTATTTGATTATTTCCCTTCTACGTGACTTTTACCGAAAGAACCAAGAAGATGAATCCCTGCAGTCACGAAAGCTTTAAATCGAAATAAAAAAAATACAATTACTTTGCTATGCAAGGGAAAAATGCGTGTGTTTTTATATAAATGTTTTTTTATTATTAGTATATATATTTATATTTAGGGCCCCTTTATATCACGTGTTACAGGCCCCGCACTGCCGGGCAGCAGTGCACAGCGCGGGGGGTGGAGGGAGACCTCACGGGGCTACATCGCGCCGCGTCTCCCGTCGGGAAGTGGCTCTCGTGGGCCCCGGCGAGAGGGAGAGGCCATCACGAACCCAACCCGTGCGCTCCTCTTACCTTCTCGCCTTTGTCCGTGTAGGTGGTCTGCAGGGAGAGACGTCAACGTGTTAATTGATGGTGAAACAGGCAGACGGGAGCGACTGAGCTTTTAAGGCTCAGAATCTACGGCGGGGTCCAGATGTCTTGTGACCGCCCCAATTTATTGACCCCTAAACATTTATTACTTTTCCTTTGCTTATTCATTTCTGTTTTCACACCCATTGGTATACAAAAAAATATTACGTTTTAGAGAATTGAATTGGGAGGGAGGGGGAGTCACAAGACATCTGGACCATCCTGTACAAGCGTTCTTAACGTCTTCACTTGCTCCTCCTGCATGACTGATGCACCTTAGAGGCGATGTATTGTTTTGCACGTTCAGTGTACAGCCCAATGAACAACCGACCGCGTTTTTTGTTCACAATCCGAGGAAAGCGTCCGAGAAAGACGTCCACCAACGATGAAAATCAGCTCGCGTGCAGGTGACTGGCTGGATTATTACACCACACGTTTGGTAAGCCCTCCATCCAGCAGTGGGTTGACCAAGGGTGATGATGATGATGAGGTATGTGTGTGTATATACAAGTATATGGGGAGCACAGGTGGTGATTTACCAGCAGCTCGCCTGCCACGCTTCACGTGACGACTTCAAAGTGCACCTAGCCTGGCACGAGCGTCGTGGTGGCGTTACCGCCACTGAATAGCGAATGGTTGTTGTTGTTGCATACTGCGTAGTGTATGTTGCCCCAACAGTCTAGCAGGGTTGGTGGTGGTGGTGCGTGCAGCTGCCTCGTTAGCGCAGTAGGTAGCGCGTCAGTCTCATAATCTGAAGGTCGTGAGTTCGATCCTCACACGGGGCACGCGGTAAATATTTTTTAAATTATTATTTAACAACTCTCAAAAAGCCGTAAACTATTTTTAATTGCTCCCGCTTCCTCGTTTTTTATGAACGTGCTTGTTTAAGTTGAGAGCGGTGGCCGAAGCCGGACACCTGAATTCGATATCCCCCGGTCACGGCCAACATAAGTGGCGAGTGATATTCGTCAACAACAACAACAACAGCACCACTGTGGCATTGAAATAACAAAAAATTAACCCGTAAAAACAAAGTTTTTCACTATAAATCCTTTATATGCGTGGCGGCTAGAGTCCTCTCGTCCTCTGGCTTGAGTTGGCTGCCACCTATGGGTCAGATGATTGCCTGCCACCATTAAGCAATTGGTAATTAAATATAATTTTTTTGTCCTAAAAAGTGTAAAATTTTGGAAAAAAAATTTCACGAACATTAATTGTCACGCACAACGAGTCTGTGTGGAAAATGTCAGCTCGATTTGATCACGGGAAGTGGGTTAAAAACGACCGAAAGATTTGCACGGTCGTAAGCAAGCAAGCGAACTTAATATAAAGGATTTTAAAAAACATAACGGGCGACGTTTCAGGAAATGGCCCTTCTCACGACGACTGTGTTCTCCAGGAGGAGGGTTGTGCCAGCTATGAGTACAGTCTATATTCCACTGATTATTTATGAGGCAGTTTTTTTTGTCATTTAAAAATATTGGATCGTGACGCCGGTGCACACGCAATGATGGCACACTCTTGCGAACAATGTCACGGGATCTTTTTAACGGCCTCCACACCGCAGTATTCATCGGGGCGGCCGCTGGAATTCGAATCGTGAACTTCTGCAGCAACAGCAGCTACAGTAACAACAAGCGGTTCGATCCCGACCCTGACGCCTGCTGCTGTATATTTGGAGTTTGCGGTGTCTCTCTCTCATCATCATCATCACGGTGGCTCTGAGATGTTAACAACCTCGCCTGGTGTACAGGAGGCCGTGGGTTCGATCCCGACCCTGACGCCTGCTGTATATTTGGAGTTTGCGGTGTCTCTCTCTCTCATCATCATCATCATCACGGTGGCTAGCAGATGTTAACTACCTCGCCTGGTGTACAGGAGGTCGTGGGTTCGATCCCAACCCTGATGCCTGCTGCTGTATATTTGAAGTTTCCATGTCTCTCTCTCTCCCCATGGTCTCGTGGGTTTTTCTCCGGGTCCTCGGGTTTTTCCCTCCACATTTAGAATCAACATCAAGCGTTTAGAGTATTTGGCTGCTATAAATGTCCACGTGATAAACCACTTCGTTGAGCTATCATTTGTGATATTCAGGTCGCTTCTGAAAAAAGAGCTTATATAGCTCAGTGTTAAAATAAAAATAAACTAGTTTAGTTTTAGTTTACACACGCAGGGCAAGAGGTAAAATGCAAAGTGTCTACCAAGTGTGCCCCATCATCTCGTTGCAGGACCCAGCGAGGTTTTGATCTCCAGCCCTGAAGCTCAGGACTAACAACCCCTGAACCGCATCATCGACTGCACACAAACCACAGCTGATGCGAGGATATCTGATGATGATGCACAAATGACAAATGTTAAAGCTCTCCTCTGGTCAGTGTGCGGAGAAAGTGGCCACCACACGCGGATTCAAACGCATCCTCTTACAGCAGTATTAATCACGAATGTGTTGAGTTCATCATACACGCGCAGTGTAGGTGTAGCTTGATTAAACACATACACGTGTGTGTTTGTGTGGCACAGTGTATACGTGTTGGCTTAATCACGATTTAAATAAACAACAGTTAGGATTCCACAAAGCGCCGTTTACACGTTCAGGATGCAGGAATTCAAAGTTACTTTCATTGTCCCGGCCGCTTTTGTCTCTAAAACGCCTCATTCGCATTCACAGAACTGTAGCCGTTCATCCCCAGCGGGTCTGGTCATGCGCAACACTTGCACACTCAATCTTGATTTGAAGCTTTCGTGACTGCAGGAATCCATACCACACTCGCTGAACCAGTTATCCACACACACACAGACACATTGAGACACACTAAATTCAACTCTTAGGTTTTTTCGGTAAAGTCACGTAGGGAAAAATAAATAAACATTGAAAAGAAATAATGCAAATAAATAATAAACATGATAGAAATAGTAATAGAAATAAAATATTTTTTCATATATTATTTTTTTAAATACTATTTTTTCCTATTATTCCTATTATTTATTTATTTTCTGTCTTTTTATTATTTCTTTCTTTATTTTCCCCTACGTGACTTTACCGAAAAAACCTAAGAGTATGAATCATTTGCAGTCACGAAAGCTTCAAATCTAGAACTAAATTCAACGACAGTCACAGACGTTATTGCATCCACCTGGCGTGGGCGGATATGAACGGCAGATGGGCAAGCCTAATAACGGAGCTACAGCCAAGGAGGGACGATGCAACGATGTCGAGCGGATGTCCACCAAAGGATCGGATAGATAGAAAGGAAGGAACGAAATCAGCTCGCGTGCAGGAGACTGCGTGGATTATCACACTGCGACGACTTGGGGAGACCTCCCATTCATCCAGCAGTGGATTGACCAAGCCGCATGCTGATGATGAGGTGTGTGTGGGTATATACATGAGGAACACAGGTGGTGCATCTGCCAGTCATCTCAAGTCAGCCAGCCCATGGCACCTGGGTCTGTCCCCGTGATTTATCAGAAGCTCGCCTTCCACGCTTCACGTGACGACTTAAAAGTGCACCTAGCCTGGTACGAGAACCACAGCAAGAACATTTTTACTGAAGTGGGCAAAACAAATTATTGCTGTGCATGCTTGTGTTGCAATTGAAACGTCGTGATTTAATTAATAATAAAAACTTTCTTTTATTCACGTGACTTTACCGAAAGAACCAAAGAATATGGATCCTTGCAGTCACGAAAACTTCTAATCTATAGCGAATGATTGTTGTTGTATACTGCGTGGTGTCTATTGCCCCAACAGTCTAGCAGGGTTGGTGGCGGTGGTGTTGCAGCTGCCTCGTTAGCGCAGTAGGTAGCGCGTCAGTCTCATAATCTGAAGGTCGTGAGTTCGATCCTCACACGGGGCACGCGGATATTTTTTTAAAAATTATTACTTTTTTGTCAATAAAAACGCTGAACCAAAGCAGTAAACTCTTTACATTATTCTCCTGCTTCCTCTTCTTCCGAGAGTGCTGATTTTAGCTGGGTTCGAATCCCCGGTCACGGCCAACATCAGTGGCGAGTGATGTAGCCACTGAATATTTTGGTGATGCTGCCGCTACTGCATTGAGTTGACAGTGGTACACAAACAACAACAACAAACTCAACGCATTCGTTAAAAACATTATGTGGCCTTATATGAAAGCATATGAGCCGACGTTTCGGAAGATGGCCCTTCTTCACAACACATAAATAGTCCTCGTGATTTGAATCTCTCTGAAGGGGGTCTTTCATTAAAGAATCCCTCTGAAGGGAATCCCGAGGATATCTCAAGGGGGTCTCTTTCTCTCGTGGGATGTCTCTCACTCTCTCAAGGGGGTCTCTCTAAGGAGAATATGGGGGTCTTTCTGAGGGGGGTCCACAAAGCGGGTCTCTCTCGATGAGACCCTTCTTAGGGGATCTCCAAAGGGGGTCTCAAGGAGATATTTCTGAGTGGGTCCACAAAGGGGGTCTCTCTCAAGGAGATCTTTCTGAGGGGGTCTACAAAGGGGGTCTCTCTCAAGGAGATATTTTGGGGGGTCTTCAAAAAGGGGGTCTCTCTCAAGGAGATCTTTCTGAGGGGGTCTACAAAGGGGGTCTCTCCCAAGGAGATCTTTCTGAGGGGGTCTACAAAGGGGGTCTCTCCCAAGGAGATCTTTCTGAGGGGGTCTACAAAGGGGGTCTCCCCCAAGGAGATCTTTCTGAGGGGGTCCTACAAAGGGGGTCTCCCCCAAGGACATCTTTCTCAGGGGAGCGGTTCTCTTTAGAGCAGGCGGATCGGCAACCAAAATAACTTTGTTTTCGAATTCGGTAAAAACAAAATGCGAAATTTCACAATCGGCAATGAACTGTGGTGGTGAACACGAAACAGTGGTGGGTCCTGAATAAACGTTGCCACTAAGACATTACTCAAGGTGGGTGGGAGATAGAGGGGGTCCCTGAGGAGGCCTCTACCCAGGTCTCTCTCCCCTCCTCTCTCTCGCTCTCTCAAGGTCTCTCTCTCTTTTACGATCAGAGGAAACAAGAAGATGCTCGGTGCAGTCGGCACTTTGCTTCGTTCATCATTTAATTTTTTTTTATCTTTGCTTTATGTACACACCCCCCTCTCTGCCCCCCTCTCTGCCCGCCCCCCCCCCTCTCTCTACGCTCTCTCTTTCGCTCTTTTTTTTCATATACAGTAAAACCTTGGATTGCGAGTAACTTGGTCTGCGAGTGTTTTGCAAGACGAGCAATAAAAAAAAAATATTCATTTGATAAACGAGCGAGGTTTTGCAATACGAGTAGCACGTGTATACGCTTTGTCTGCCGAGCGTCACGTGATCACAACTGATATACGAGTGCTTTGGATTACAAACACGTTTCCGGAACGAATTATGCTCGCAATCCAAGGTTTTACTGTATATATTTTTTTACTACTACAAGTGCTGCATCTGCACGCAGCCCTTCTCGCAGTCCAACGGCTTCCGATCCTCCTCTCACTCAAGGTGGGTTGGTGGATGGGGGGGGGTCTCTCTCCCCTGCGCTCTCTCTCAAGGTCTCTCTCCCCTGCGCTCTCTCGCTCTCGCTCTCTCTCAAGGGGGTCGGGGTGGCCGTCTCTCTCAGTCCTCTCACCATGTCGCTGCTGGCGGGGTCGCAGGTGAGAGCCGAGCCGCGGGTCCAGTCGAGTCGAGTCGGCTCTGTCGGGGGCGAGTCGCGGGTTATAAAACCCGAGAGAGACCCCCCCCCCCCCCTCAACCCCCCCCCCCCCCCCGCGGCGCCCAGAGTCCCCGTGGTGCAGAACTCTCCCCGCGCTCCCCATTGGCCGCGCGCTCTCCCACCCACCCCACACCCACCACCCTGCACCCCGCACCCACCCCGCACCCCACACCCACCACCCTGCACCCCACACCCACCCTGCACCCCGCACCCCACACCCACCACCCTGCACCCCGCACCCACCCCGCACCCCACACCCACCCCGCACCCCACACCCACCCGGCACCCCGCACCCCACACACCCCGCACACCCTGCACCGCACACCCACCCCGCACCCACCCTGCACCCCACACCCACCCTGCACCCAGCACCCACCCTGCACCCCGCACCCACCCTGCACCCCGCACGCACCCTGCACCCCACACGCACCCTGCACCCCACACCCACCCCGCACCCCACACCCACCCCGCACCCCACACCCACCCCGCACCCCACACCCACCCTGCACCTACCCTGCACCGCACACCCACCCGGCACCCCACCACCCACCCTGCACCCCGCACCCCACACACCCCGCACACCCTGCACGGCACACCCACCCCGCACCCACCCTGCACCCCGCACCCAAGCGGCACCCCACACCCCACACCCCACACTTACCCTGCACCCCACACCCACCTTGCACCCCGCACCTTGCACCCCACACCCTGCACCCCGCACCCTGCACCCTGCACCCCGCACCCAACCGGCACCCCACACCCACCCTGCACCCCACACCCACCCTGCACCCCACACTCACCCTGCACCCCACACCCACCCTGCACCCCACACGCACCCTGCACCCCACACGCACCCTGCACCCCACACGCACCCTGCACCCCACCCCCCTGCACCCCGCACCCCGCACCCAAACCGGCACCCCACACCCCACACCCCACACCCCACACCCCACACTCACCCTGCACCCCCACACCCACCTTGCACCCCGCACCTACCCCACACCCTGCACCCCACACGCACCCTGCACCCCACACTCACCCTGCACCCACACTCACCCTGCACCCCACACCCACCCCGCACCCACCCCGCACCCACCCCGAACACCACACCCACACACCCCACCCTGCTACCCACACACCCACCCTGCACTCCACACACCCCACCCCGCACCCCACACCCACCCACCCACCCACGCACCCACCCCGCACTCACCCTCGGTCAGGTCGACCGGGACTGCTCTCAACACCGATGGGCACAACCGACAAAGCGTTGGATACGACACGAAGAAAGTTATAAAGACACTTTATTGAGAAGTACACAGCAAGGCACACGACCAACACCACACACAGACACATCACATCACCACCCCTCCACATTATACAGCACTTACATTACACACAGCGACACACAATCCTCGACTCGTGTGACACTGCGGGCACGCGCCATGACCCACAGGATGAAAGTTCATTCGCAAAGAGAGAGACGAGGAGAGTCACGGTGGGAGAGGGAGACAAGGGGGGAGAGAGGGAACGGAGCCCGTAGCCCAGCGCGATGTGAGGAACACGACTGAGCATGAGTCCCCGCGCAGCGACATCGGTGGGGTTCAAGTTAGGGGTGGTGGGGTATTCCTCGTGGCTGGCTTGGCTAATTGTTTAAAGTTCGTGGGCTAGAACTCATGACCGGTTGGTTAGGGCAGGTGGTCGGGAGAGGTTTAATGAGAGGGCCAATTGCTGCTTGGCTAGTTGGCTGTTATTAGTCGGGTTAGTACAAGTCGTTGATCAACTCTCGTTTGGTAGAGTCAGTGGTAGGGGGGGCTAGTCCTCGTGGCTGATTAGCCATGGTTAGTGTCGGTGGTAGGATGAGAGCTCCGTTTGGTTGCTGTGCTTCCCCCTTTAACACACTCCTCCGTTTTCATTCCGCTCGTCGTTTCGAGCGCTCAGAGCTAGGGGGCCGAGAAGGCGGCAGAGCAGCGCAGCAGCCCGTTCAGCGCCATCGCCAGTGTCCGAACAGTCCTCCCTGCAAATGATCTACTTTGCCAGGTCAATAACTGATTTTCATCCTTACCGGATCAATAACACGAGGATCACCCTGCGTCTGTGTGTATGTGTGTATGCGTGTAGGTCAACGGTCATCGCCGTCGTACGGACAGACTGGCACCCACCAAGGGAATGTGCAGTCCGTAACCACTGGTTCAGAACCGCCAAAAAGGCGCACCCGGCACCATCCGACCGCGGACGCACTCGCGCCCAGAGCGCTGAAATTTCGCTCGTTTGCGTTATCATCAGCAAGACGGCAGCCTCCGACATCGCCACGTTACATCGAGGCACGCCGGCAGACGGATATTAACTTCAACTCGCGAGTTGATTTATTGATTGATTGATTTATTGGTCGATAAGTGCACATTTTTTTAAAAATGAAATAAAACGTCGAGGTCGTAGCCGCGGGGGCCGCTGTTGGTCGCGTCGGCCTCGCCGATCGCCAAGAGAAGCCGGCGCTAGCGTGGCGTGTCGCTTGCCACGCGCAGCGAGAGGATCACGGCGTCAATGACCACACGGCGGCAGTGGTTCTACAAGCCTGGCGTGCCATCATTTCTGTCAGCCCAAAGACAAAGATCCCCCGTGTCACCTTTAACATACTTTCTCGGGACAAGAGCTGTTATGACGAGTAGCACCTACGAATGCCGGCATGGTACACGAGCAGGGTTGGGTGGGGGGGCAGCACCATGCCCAGTACTCACTTGAGGCTGGGTCGACCTAGGGAAGGCGCAGGACCGGTCCAGATAATCGCTTACCGATGAATGCTACCACGCCAACCTCTCCTTGGAGGAATCTGTCGGTCGCAGTGGGACGCCGAGCCTGCCGCGGACAAAGACGAGCATCGGCAAACGGCCGTCCGACCAGGGGGCCGCCCCCTATTGAGAGTTTCGTCTCGCGAGCAAAACCCTTCCCGCTGACCGACCGACCGACCGAGCTCCAGAAGTTGAGCAAAAAAAAAAAGAAGAGGCCCCCAGAAAATAAAAAAGCGGGAGGTAATCGGATTCCCATTTTGACAAAACCGTCCACAAAACCGCACTTTGGCCGACTTTCCCATGCCGCCACTGTTGGCAATGGAGACGTCGGCGCGTTTTCGCAACAAAAATGTTCTATCCGACAAAAGTGAAATCCCGCCGAAAACGATGAGAATCTGGCCCACGTTGCGCTCGGGATTGCTGCACGGCCGGAGTGGCTGCGAGAAGTTCTCGTGACGAGGACCAAAATTGACATGAAAAGTAACCGCCATGGGGTCGGATCACCGCCGGGGGTACGCTCCACCGCGATCGACGGTCGCAAAGCAAGGAGCGTGCGGCGGAAACCTCGATCCCAGTGGCGGTGGTGGCGGCGGCGGCGAGCGAGCGATCAATCGTAAACCACGTCGCAATTTCACCAACGCGCGCGCCGCGGATCACGTCCGATGCACGAGTGGAAACGCTTGACGGGACGACCCGTACCACGGTCGCGGTGAACATTCAACAATGAAACGCGGCGTAAACAGTCGGGCCCCGTACATCCACACTCTGGCGGGATAACAAAGACTAGATTGTACTTGACACAGGACGTCTACACTCACATCTAGCGTTTAGCTATTTGACGTGACGGCTAATTTTAACCTGCACGTGGCAAGCAGTGGGCAACTGAGAGCACCGAGAGCTGCTCGCGTCCCGCACACACACACGCAAGTACTCGGATGAATGTGCGCACACGCACACACGCGTGCATGCATGTACACACAAAGACAAAGATCCCCCGTATAGCCTTAACAGGATGTTGGGGCAAGTGCTGTTAGCGAGCACCTATGAAGGCCGGAACAACACACGAGGGGGTGGGTGGCCAGCAACCACGCCCAGCCGCCTTTGTCTCCCCAGTGGCGATGTTTACACACCGCACCAGGTACTCATTTGAGGCTGAGTCGACCTAGGGGAGGCCCAGCACCGGTTAAGATAATCGTCACTTGTATCGGCCGCGAGCGGGAATCCAACCGGGGTCGCCAGGTACCGTAGAACAGCGCGCTGACCACTACGCTACCGCTCCCCACAATGTACATGTACACACACGCACGCACTCACATACTTCCTCTAGCAAAAGAAAGCTCCGAGCTCACCACTTAACGAAGACAAAACGCGACGTTCCTCCTTTCGGAGCGCACACATTCCTGAACAATGCACGAGCACGGAGGCCGGTCCGCCGCGCGAGAGAGAGAGTGTGTGGTGTGGACAACACCGCGCCCGGCCACATCTGTTTCTGCCCCTTCGTGCTGATGTCTCCATACACAGTCGACTTAGGGGGGAGCCCCGGGACTGCTTTAGATAATCGTCACCGGTGTTGGCCGTGAGCGGTAATCAAATAATAAAATATGGGGTCCCCGGGTTCGTAGCGCAGCGATCAAACCGCTGCGCAACCGCTCCCCCACCCCGCCGTGTGCACACACGCGCCCTAGTGCAGTGTAACGCACACACGCGCGCATGTACACTTACTTAGGATCCACACAGGAATGTATGCGCACGCACACACACACACACAGGCACTCAACTCATGAGTGCATCAAATAAAGGTGGAACGCCAGTAAACTGCAGCAGTTAAAGTTAAAATAGAACAACAATGCTCACCTTAATTACACAGTAAAAACTCACTTATGATTTACAGGGCAAATGCACAGAGACAATGACCTTGCTGCCCACCCACCCCCCACCCTCAACGTCCCCCCCCCCCCCCACCTATGCTCCCTCCCTCCTCAATCCCCAAGCTGTCAGTCCGACCGCACATCGAGCACAGCAGCCCGGCCTTGCTGCCGGCACCACCGGTGTGGTGGCCACGCTCACCAACGAGTCAGCAGGCGCGTTTCGATTCTCCGCACCCTCATTGCACATCTACGAACCGGGGGGGGGGGAGGGGGGGGTCGTGGTTTAAGGATTTAATGACGGTCCGTACGGGGTGGGGGGGCCCCCGGGGCACGAGAGCGCAGAAAAGGGGAAGTAAAAACTGCCAGTGTTGACACCCACCGCCTTAAAAACACAACAAGAAACATTCTCGAGTCCCAGTAAAACACCCGTTGAGCTCCATCTCGCTATTGCAAAAGCACTCGCACGGTGCCCCGTGGAGAGTGGAGTGGACGAATATCCCAGCGAAGGAATGCGGACCGCCAACTCCACCTCCTCCACTCTCACCGCCGCCACGGGCCTCAGTTGCCTGTGAGAAACGGGGGAAGGGAAGGTTCAGGAGGTCATCGCGCGAGCAGCGGAGACGTCAGATCTTCTTGGTTCTTTCGGTAAAGTCACGTAGAAGGGAAATAATAAAATAATAAAAATAAAACATATTAAAATAATTCTCACGACGTTTCGGCCACAACGCAAGCAGCAGTCCTCAGGTGAAGAACAGGTCTGTCGGAAAGACAGAGTCTGAATGTCTTGTGAGAATTATTTTAATATGTTAAATTTTTTTTATTTTATTATTTCCCTTCTACGTGACTTTACCGAAAGAACCAAGAAGATGAATCCCTGCAGTCACGAAAGCTTTAAATCGGAGACGTCAGAGTTTCGCGGGTCGAATCCGGCAGGCCGCCCCGGTTACCACAGCGGTGGGCACAAACCGTTAAATAGATAGGAGGTGCGTCTGCTCCACGACAGACGTTAAAGATCACGGTCCCGGGCCTCCCCTGGGTTGACTCGAGACTTCGATACCGAGAAGCCGGTGCGGTAAGTAAACATCAACGCCGGGGTGACGGAGACGGTCGGGTGCTTCGCTGGCCACGTGCACTGCGCCGGCCCCTCCTCGCATGCGCTCGCTAACGGCGCTCGCCCCCAACGGCCTGCGAGGGGCTACTCGGGGGACCTTTGTCTGGTGCGTGTCGAATTACCGTCTGCTCCCTGCGCCAAGGTGCCGGCCAGTTCGTAGTGCTTCTTGCGGAGCTCGCCCAGCCGCATGCGCTCCTTCTCCAGCAGATTCTCCAGCTCCAGCACCTTGACCTGCACACAGAGAGGGGGAGGGGGAGAGAGAGAGAGCCTCGTGACGCATACGGACACTCCCGCACACGGACGCACATGGGTGGGTGCACGCACGCACATGCACCCCGCCTACCCCCCGACGTGAAGCGCACGATTTGCGCAAACATGGACGCACATGGGTGGAACACAGACACACGTACACTCCCCCTCTACGTACACACCTGGTGTTGAACAAACATCGCTCACACACACAATCACACGGAACAGCCCCGAGCCGTACCTGGCAGTTCATTTCTCGAAGCTTCGCTTGCGTCAGGGTCATGGTCATATCCTTAAAGTTCATAGCTCCTGTAGAAGTAGCGCACAAACGGGCGATCATTAAGCAGCGTCGCACCACCGCGGTATGCTGCGCCTGTATCACGCCACGTCACGCCGCATCGCGTCACACCACATCACACCGCGTCACACCGCACTTCTCACCGGACTCCTCGATCTGCGACATCCCGGTCTTGGTGGAGGCGACGACGCGGGCCGTGGCCTCGTTGACCCCGCGCGACGCGTGCTGCAGGCGTGCCAGCTTGCCGCTGTTCCTCTCGGCCTTCACCTGCGGGCGGAAGGAGGGGGAGGCGGCACGGGCGACGGCGCACGCGACCACGTTAACCCGCCGCCATGGCACGGCCAACGGCAAACTGTGGGCATCGTCGTGCAGGTGGGCGCAAGGGCATGGAGTGAGCATGTGGAGTGAGCATGGGTGTAGGTGTGCAGGGGCAAGCGGCGCAGGCGCGCGATGCAAGGTGTGTGGCGCAGGCGAGGGGAACCTTGGAGGCAGCGACGAGCTGCGCGGTGCTGGCGGCGATCTCGTGCGAGCACACCACGAGCTCCTCGAATTTGCCGTCACCCTGCACCACCTTGTCGGCCGCTTCGCTGCTCACGAGCACCAGCACCGATGAAACCATGGGGGCGCGGGGGGGGGGAGGAAGAGGAGGAGGGATGAGCGCGAGTCACTGCACAGCAGATAGTGCTGTAGTGCACAGGCTTGTGCCCAAAGTAGTGCCAACAGACGCGCGCGCCTGCACGCACATACCAAATGCGCACACACTAGTTCAGAGACGTATGCACAGGCACATATGCGTATGTGCAGACACGTACACACACACACACACGCAAAGACAAAGGTCCCGTATATAGGGCACACAGGCTGTCGAGGCAAATGCCGTTACACTCACGACCGCCGGGGGGAGGCTATAGCCAGAGGAACATGAAACAATACAAACGAGACAGTAGTAAAATAACAAGTCAACACCGGCACTGCGGCGACGACGACAGACGGGGGAGGTACATACACCAGCATGGTGGCGCCCCAGCCCACGGCCTTCGAGGCAGAGATGAGGCCCTCGGTCCAGCGAGAGTTTTTGGCGTAGAACTCCTTCGGTGAGGCGGCACCCTGCACACGCACAGATGCACGGACGCACGCAGTGGTCACGCTCGGAAGCCTCTCGGAGCAAACGGCGCTCCGTTAAATCATCGCACATCCATGCCTAACTTCACACACGAGCAGATGGAGAGATTTCCTGTCAATGTTATTCCAATTGTGCCTTCCGCGTCGCGTCGCCACGAATTGAAGAATTCTCTCGGAAATCCCGCACGGCTGTACGACCCTTCGTGTTCGCAGAACGGCCCGCGGAAGCGGATACCGCAAAGTTACCTCAAGAGAATCCTTCAAGTGGCCTCCAGTCCACCCATTAGGGGGCAGCACTTTCCCACCCGCATTGCCACCGAGAGTGATGCTCATCACATTCAGTCAAAGTGAAGTTTTTTGTTGTTGTAATTTCTCAGGAGCTAGAATTTATCCAAAGTGCAGGGCCAAATTTAACTGCGACGGCTTTATACGGTGCGGTCGTTTGGTGACCGGGGTCGAGACACCCACCAAACTCACGACGTTTGGGCACCCCATTTAAAATCGCATTTCAACGTTGGCCGAAAACCCGGATCCGAACCCAGGCACGGAGCGGCACGGGTTCACAGTGCCTGTGACCTTGGAGCTGCCCTTGCCTCCTCCCGTGGTCCACACGTTCACGTCGCGATTGGGTGGCGGCGGTGGCTTACTTCGCGTTTATGATTGGACACGGCGGCATTGGGGGTTTGTGCAGTGCACGGGAGTACACGGCGAGAGGAGGAGAGATGGAGGCCCGCTCACCCGTCCGCTCTCCACGATTTCTCTCTGGAGCTCCGACGATGCGACGATGAGAATTTTGATTGCCTGAGAAGAGGGAGGGGGGCGGCGGTGGCGGACGTCGCTGCGATTAACACCGTGTCGTCGCCACCGTCGTTTGAATTCAATTTAATTCAATTAATAAATGGCACAAAGGCGGCAAAACTAAAGATGTGTAAAACGGATAAAAGTTACAAATGAAGCACTAGCTGCACGTTTCTCGTAACTATACTCACTTGCATCAGATCCGTGCAAGACGCGAGAATCCTGCAATGTTCATAAAAAAGTTAATAAATTGGAAAACGATTTAAAACGTGCCCCTCTTTCCCCCAACGTTATCTCCCAACTGTTCCCAGTGTAGAACATCACTCTCTGAACTCTCAGAGCGCCGCGGCATCTCCCTGCACTACAGAACGGGCAAGTGGAAGGAAACATCACAGAGCTACTTCCGAGACCCGTTCAAGTGATCTCCCATATCAGCACACTAGGGATCACACTTTTACACTATGTGCCCTACTGCAGTGAAATGTTTCTTGCGTAGCAGTCAAAAAAATATTCTTAATTCTCAGAGCTAGAATTTTGGCACGGTAACCGTGAATTCAGCACACACACGGACCGCTCGCGCACACACGGACCGCCACGCTGGCGCTCTGCGCTGCTCACCGCTCGTTCACCTCCAGCTTGATGCCCGTGTCGGCCGCCCGCGACTTGTTCAGCATGTCCTGCGGAATGCGTCAACACGGCCGTCACGGCGCACGCGGTGTACCATGCCGGGTTATCACGCCCGTAACACGAGATCATCAAGTCCAGGACATTATGATCTCAAGATGATCATCCTCATTGTCAGAATGGCGACGAGGATCGGTGCAACCAGCCCAGACGAGGGGCCTCAGGTGACGGTGGTGGAGGCGGCGCTTTAGGCCACATGCCTCGGCCCAATTTGTGACACCGATGTGACCCTGGGCCAGCCATGCTCAATTTCTCACAGAATATTTTCACCGGTGTGGCCGGTTGACCAGAGTAGGAGGCATGTGACTTAGAATACACGCTCATAGCGAGTGGTATACTGGATGTGGTGTGCCGCTTTCTTCAGGATCGCCGACCCGGAGGGACCAGGCTAAAATTAAGCCCTGGAGGTGTCTAAATAACAAAAGAGATCTTGTTGGTTTTTTGTGATCCCCACATTATAGTCCACCAACCGCCTAGCCCGTTAAAACAAACTACAGCACTCACAATGTCTGTTCTTGTCATGTCGCCGAGCGTGTAATTTGGCACCGCGTCTCACGTTTCACTCCCAGCCGATGCAAGGAAACGTCGGACATCACGACAAACAGCACGGGCCGCTGTACGACTGGAACACATATCGAAGAGCTGCGCATCGCAACCACCAAAAACATTCACTCCCACCCCCGATTGCTCTCAGGTCGGTGTGTCACAGGGTCGCAGGGTAGCGATGGGGGAGGGTGGAGGTGCTTGACCCCCACTCACCTCAATGCGAGCCGCTGCCGCCTCCACGGCGGCGGATGTCGACGCCATCTCCTGCTCCACCAGGTCCCCCAGCTCCTCCTGACGCACGTCCATGCCCTTGGGACGCAGGTCCTGAGACAACCAAAACCGACGGGCGGGTGCGTTCAGAACATGGTCGCGCAACGATAACATATCGCCCAGCATGTGACTACCAGTTGCTGCAGTTGGGGAAAGAGATCCACTGGATGTGGTGCCGGGTGCAGAAATAGTCCCTGGGTCGCTGAGCCCGCACACGCCAGCTCACGACCAGTAACAGCGGTGGATATTTCAACCATCCTGGGCCCCCCTTTAGGTCGACTCCGCCTCAAATGAGTACCTGGTGCACTGTGTAAAACATCAGCCCTGGAAGAGACGAAGGCAGCCGGGCGTGACGTTGGCCACCCACCCCTTTGTGTGCCGTGTCGGCCTTCGCAGGTGCTCGCTAATAGCACTTTCCCCAAGAGTCTGTTAAAGCAGCCTATATGGGGGACTTTTGTCTTTGTGTATATGGTACCGAGCCTCCCTTAGGTCGACTGGTGCAGTGTGTAAACATTAAGTGTGCAAAGGCGCGGTGCTGGCCACCCTCGCGTGCCGTGGCGGCTTTAATAGGTGCTCGCCAACAGCACTCGACCCCATCAGTGTGTTTGGGGCTATACGGGGGGGGGGGGGGGGGGGGGGAGGATCCTAAAGGTTCCGCGGACTCCTGCCGGCACACCTCCCCAATGCGGACGATGCGCTCCAGAGTGGCGCGCAGAGCTTCGGGGTTGGCGCCGGGCAGCGTCGAGCGCTCCTTCAGCTTGTCCAGGAAGGCCAGGGCGCCGTCGCCACACTGCTGGCACGCCTCCGTCAGGCCTGGGGACGCGGGCACAGGGGGGTGGGGGGTGGGGGGGCCAACGCGTACAAACAGTCACCAAATTTGTTTGCTGCGAGGAACAGAGGTCACTTGAATTGGTCTCGGAGGTAGCTCTACGAGATCCAGTTTCCATGGGCCGTTCCTCGAACAAAAGGGGTCGTTGTTGCCGCGTCGCTCCGCGAGAGATCCGATTGGACGCTCCGTCTCGACGCACGACACCGAAAGCAAAATAGGGATAAAATTAAGCGGGAAGACAATATTACCCATAAGTGATTATTAAATAAGCCACCGCCAAAAAGAGCCGAGTCGGCGTAAATCATCTGTGGTAACCCCGTCACGAACCAATCGGCGGAGTCCACCCACCCACTAAGTATTATGGCGCTGGCAAAAGCCGGAATAATTTATGGCCGCCCGCCCGCCCGCAATAAGCACCAAGACTAAAACACACAGCGGAGAGCCGTACGGCACAACGGCGACAACCTAGCGGGGTTGGTGGTGGCGCGACACTCACGGTCGGCCTGGTCCCCCGGCACCAGGTGCGAGGTGGCGCTGCCCTGTACGATCGTGTCGCTGACCAGGTGGGAGAGCCCAGAGACCGCTCGGAGCAATCCACTCGCATCTGATTAGCGGGGGTGGTGGGGGGGCGTTAAAAGGGAGGAGGAGACACGAGAGAGTGCGCAGAGAAGTAACGAGAATGTCAGAATCGCTGATAAACAAACACAAAACAACTGCAAATGAATCCCAGCTCCACCCTCCCACCGTTTACATAACTGAAACAAAGATCCCTTCGCCCGTGTCGCCTTTCACACAATGGAGGACCTTGGTAGGGGGAGAGTAGTAGCGATCTTGTAGTCAATCATGGACTGGATTGCAGGCCAGTGACGGGATCAGAAAATCGGGTCCTAGAGTTCACGACAATGACGTCCCCCCTTGGTGTCCCGCACGTGCACTCGTCACGTACGATGCCGATGATTGAACGGCTCCCTTACCAGACTCGTCCTTCACGTACTGGGCATGACCCGCCTTGGTGCGAGCCACAGACTCCAGCGACGCCTGCGCCCTCGTGATGAGATAGTCTGCATGGCACAGACAGCGGCGGCACATTAGTCACAGCAAGCGGCACGTGTCGGCGCCAGTGTCGATCCACTGCTGAACGAGGGCCTCCGCACGCCGTTCGGGTCGTGGGGGGGTTATTTGAACGTACTTCGCCGCATTGGTCAGGTTGTGAGCATCGTTCGCAAAGAACAAAAATGCCCCCTGCTGACCGCCAGGTGGCACAGCCGCACGATGTTACACAAAGATGCAGAATATGAATTCTAGATTTGAAGCTTTCGTGACTGCAAGGATTCGTACTCTTAGGTTTTTTCGGTAAAGTCACGTAGGCAAAAATAAATAATAAAATAAAAATAATAACAGAAATAAAATAATAAAATAACACGGCGTGATTTTTTATTTTACTTCTATTATTTTTTCTATTTTTTTATTATTATTTTTTACCTACGTGACTTTACCGAAAAAACCTAAGAGTATGCAGAATATTATAAATCAACTAGTTAAGCAGAAACATTGTAGGGCACGCTTCCCATTTTTGCATTATTCCATAAAATTCAAATTCAAGGCCTAGAAGATGCAAATTTTTGTTTGTGTCCGACTGACCCCAAAAACCGGACATTTCCTGCTGAAAGTTGGGTCCACGTGGCATTGGGTGACTTCATCATTATTATTATTGACACATTTCATATGAGCACACAATAGAAATTATCTGAAAGTAAAAAAAATACCCAATTTGTCCTTAACCTTCCGAATTATTTAGTTCAAATCTGAAGCTCATCCCTAATCCACTGTAAGAATCTTCTAACTGCGAATCATAATTTATGTGATTCAACGGAATCGCCGTGGCGGGAGAGGGAGGGACATCGCTTGCACCTCCGACTGGCTTCGCTTGCACCGTCTCCCCAGCGAGGACTAAAATCCAAACTAAACTAGGTTTTATTTTCCCAGGTACTGTGTAGCTCTTTTTTCAGAAGCGACCTGACAACAAATGATAGCTCAACGAATTGGCTTATCAGGTGGAAATGTATAGCAGCCAAATGCTCGAAAACGCACATTTATATTCTTATACTGTGGAGGGAAAAAACCAGAGGACCCAGAGAAGATTCCACGTGACCACGAGGAGAGAGAGACATGCAAACTCCAAATATACAACAGGCGTCAGAGGGTCAGGATGGAACCCACGACCTCCTGTATACCAGGCGAGGTAGTTAACATCTCGCCACCCTCCCACCACCCCATTTGCTCCGCCACACGCTCACCCGGGGAGCTCTTGCATCCGACGTGCAGCGGGTCGTCCAGCTTGTCGATGGCGTCACGCACGATGCGCTCGCCCTCCTCGACGGCGCCCCGCAGCAGCAGGAACTGCTCCTCCAGGAGACGCTGCCTCAGGGACTTCTCCTGTGCCTCCTGCGCAGGGGCAAGCGGAGCCGGGAGGTCGTCATCATCACCATCATCGTCACCATCATCGTCACCATCATCGTCACCATCATCGTCACCATCATCGTCACCATCATCGTCACCATCATCGTCACCATCATCGTCACCATCATCGTCACCGCCGCCAATGCCGTCACCGCCGTCATCATCACTGTGATCATCGTCGGGAGGAAGACGAATCACTAACGGCGATTGCGGCTGTTATTATGCTTGTTTGGGTGTTGACCTTTCGCACCGAACGTCGCCAGCCTTGCCAAAATCGGAGGTGCGGGGGGGTAAACAGCCTCGACTCGTTTTTAGGAGGGTCGTGCCAAGTTTTCGCAGGAGGGGGCGATGTTGAGCCAGTCAGAGAGTTTATCTGGAGGCAAGGCCCATTGAGCTAAGGAAGCTATTTTTACTCATTGTCGCTGCTGTGTTCGAATCTCAATTGAGTAACTGGCAGGCAATGCCTCAGCATTGGGATGTGGCTCGGCGATGGAGAAAAGCGGCTTCCGATTGGAAGGTTGCGAGTTAAGTGGAAGGGGGGGGGGGCAGTTAGCCGAGGCCATCATCTCTCCAGGCTCAATAAGATTTGTATCACTTTGCAAGGAAGTCAACCGTGGTTGTCGATGGAGAAATTGGCCGCAGCCATTGTAAAGCAGAATTCCCAACACAGGCTGTAAACAGAAGACAAGCGCGGGGAACATCACCTAGATTAGAGGATCTGCACGCGTTGTGTATCACGCCACCGTGTTTGTATTTCATTGGGGGGGGGGGGGGATGACCGAGACCCGCCTTGCACGAGCGCGAGCCGGCCGAACCACCACAAGCGCCGGCCGGAACACCGACCTTGTCAGACAGCCGCTGCTGCAGCTGCTGCACCTCGGCCTGCTTCTGCTGCTTGTTGTCTTCGAGAGCGCGCTCACGCTCGCTCAGCTGCGATCCCAGCGCCGTCACCTCCTGGCTGCGCCGTTCCAGCTCCTCATGGACCCGGCGCTTCTCGTCCTGCAGAGACTGCATCCGGCTCGACAGCTCCGTGCCCGACTGCGGCGCGTACGCACACACACACACAGACAGACACGCATGCACGCACGCACAGACAGACACGCATGCACACACGCACGCAGAGACAAACACGGCGGAGACGGTGACGATAAGGACATGTCTAGTTTTTTTGCTTAACCAGGTCAGAGCGGCCTGGGGCACTGGTCTGCCATTAGGGGCGGTGATTGCAACCCCGTGTGGTAATGATCCCCATCGCGATGGTCAGGATGGGACGGGGGTGGGGGAGGTCGAGAATGTTGGTGGGACGAGAGTCGAGGGCGGAGGCGGGTGAACCGGGGGGGGGGGGGGGGGGCTCGAGAGTGAAAATGGGATGGGGATTGAGGGGTGGGGGTGGGTGGATGGCGGGAGGGGCGGTCGAGGGCGGGGGTGAGTGCGCGCGACACGCGGCCGTTGAGAGGGGCCAACTGGAGCACCTTCTCGGTGTTCTCCAGCGTGAACCGGAGCGAGGTCAGGTCCTGGCGGCTGCTCTCCAGCTCCTTCTCAAGCCTCTCCACCGCGCGCCTCTGCTCCTGCAGCTGTTGGAGCGCATTGAGGGTGGGAGGGGGGGGTGGGCAGCGGATGAACGAGCAGGGGAGGGGGGCACCGTGAATGCGTGTTCGTGTTTTCACAGACGACGTATGCACACACGAGTGTGTGCGCGCGCGCTGAGTATCTATTAAAAAGGTGCTCGCTAAATGGCACTTGCCCCAAAGGCCCCTCGAAGTTAAAACGTAGCTTTCTCACAGCCAATGGTGCAGACCTACATTTTTATTTTCAATCAGCCTACAAAAAGATATACACAGGCAGAGTTGAATAATATCAGCTGGTTTCCCTCTCGGTCGGTGACAAAAACATATCTCCGCACCTGGCACACCACATCCAGTATTACCACGGGCTGTGGCTGACCGGCGATCCCACAGAATATTCAGCGAAAAATGAGTGCCTCTCTCTGTATCAGGGAGCTTTGTCTTCCGAGCACAATTTCTTTGAAGAATGACAGAAATAATTATCGGTACGGACGAAGGTGCTGAAAATTGGTACCGAGAACCTGACACCATTCTGTTTGCCAGCACCTTCTCGGAATAAGTAAGATCTACTTTCTCTGTAAATAGTGTTTGGTATGGTATGGCAAGACCAACACGCAGAAACACACGCGTCTGTGTGTGTGTGTGTGTGCGCACGTGTAGGAAATCCTCTGGCTGTGAGGCACGCGTGCAAACCGTGCCACAGTGTGGGCAGGAGGGGGCCGTCGTGTAGTGTTCACCAGGTCGGGGGATGGTGTTGCTACTCTACGTGATCCTAATTAAATATTTTATAGCATTGGGATGATTTGTCCGATACCAGTTACAATGAATGTACGGTCGTTTTAGCCACGAGAGGAAACCGGAGAATCCATAAGGAAACCCATACGGAACAGAGGGAGAACATACAGACTCCACACAGAAAAAGGTGTCCCAAGTCGTGGATCGAGCGTTACCAGCTGGCCGCCCATTTAAATAAATGAGTGGCGCACACTGCCGCCGGTTCGTGTGGAGTGGACCCCTGGCTGCGACAGTCACAGGCGGTGTTGCGTTTTGATTTCGGGTGCGTTTTGGCGAGGATCGTTCCACGTCGCCTCTCGCGCCCGAGCGACAGCGTTGGGAGTAGCCACCAACACAGCAACGTCACGTCGATATTAAAAAAATGATATACATCACACTGACATTCCAAAACGACTGCACTTTAAATCACACTGTACTGCCTCACCCTCAAGCACTCATTCAAGGGGGCATATTTTTAAAAGGCATTGTTATTAAGCGATCAAGTAAATAAATAGATTATACGGTCAAATACCACACTGCCAGCGGGTCTCCCCCCCCCACCGCCCAGCGACTTGAAAAACCAGTTCCTATTTCCCATAAATCACCTTGGCGTCCGTTTCTTGCTCGGTCTGTTGGATAATCTTCTCGATGCCAGCCCGCGCCGTCTCGGCCTCCTCCTTGGCCTGCAGCAGCGTCGTCAGCTGTCGCGCCACGTCAGCGTTCTGCACAGAGAGCAGGAATTTGAGAGTAAAAGATGAAATAATGCGCTTGCTTGAATGCCTCGGGCGACTAAGCACCGGTGTGTCAAATCCGATCTCAATGCATGCCAAGGTCAATCCCCTCCCCACCACAAGTGGCAGCTGTCCCTGTGTGGCACAACAACTCGGCACCTGGCCTGCCAGCGGGCGTCAATCTCTTATCAGTACGGGGCGATCATTGCGACTGCTCTGTGCGATCGCAAGTGAGAGTAATTTGCAAATCATCTTTCTAATTGTGGAAAATTTTAACCGTGACGTTGGCATACAAATGGCCTATTCATCACAGGACCTTTGCTTCACAATCGACATTAGACGACATTATCACGCCCGCAGATTTAAATCGGGGTGGCCTGCCAGAATTTAACCGCAAACCTCTGCAACAAGCAGCCAATGGCGTGCCCCACCAAGGCCGCGTCAGTCCCAAACAATTATTATTTCTCCATATTTTACCACTCCCCCCCACAACCCCCACTGGGTTTGCTCGCTCGCCCGCCCGCACCTTCCTCAGCAGCTCCGCGTGCGTCTTCACCAGATCCGTGTGCTTCTCCTTCATTTTCACAAAGCGCTGCTCGTTCGCTTGCGCCTTCTCTGCAACGGCACCACCGCAACACGATCGTCTCTGCTCCCACCGCACCCCAGCCATGGCACCACCGCAACACAAATCGCCCGGGGTGGAGAGAGCAACCGATTGCCAAAGCGACACTGGTAGCCCAGGATCCCAGTGGTTTAGAAACTAATGGTGGTGACGACAATGTTGATACAATTGAATAATAATGATAAGAGGGTCCTGCATCAGGGACCATGGGGTCTGGGGGTGGCCGAGAACGGTGACGATGGTGTAAAACATCAGGTGACATGGTGATTTCGACTTCCTGATTTCCGACCTGAAGATGCTTGATGAAGTATCAAGCAAAATATCTCAGGCGATTGAAACATTTGTTGGCGAGAATTGTTCTTCAACTTATCGTTGAGCGGAAACAACGGACGCTTGTGCACGTGAACACGAAAAAAAGTTTGCCATCAAACAAACAAACAAAACGTGCCTAACCCGAAAATCTATTACGAACGACGGTGACGATGCCACCGTGGGTGTGGGGCGTGGGACGGCACGTGACAGCGCGGGGACTCACTCTCAACCTCGGTGAGCGCACTCTGGGCCAACTCCGTCTCCTCCCTGTCGCGCTGGGCCTCAAGCAGCTCGGCCTGCACACGCTGGCCCTCGGTCTGCGCCCGCATGCGCAGACCGCGCTCCTCCGCCAGCTCGCGCTCCAGCTGCACCACGCGCTCCCGCAGCTGCACGATCAGGCGGCGGCTCTGCGCAAACGCACACGGCCAGCGCACCAGCAGCATAAGGGTAGCACGGGAGATGCACATCGGCAACGGGGGCAGCACTGGGGCAGCACTAGGAAGCACAGGGGCAGCAGCACACTGAAGGTACAGGGGCAGCAGAAGCATATGGGGAGCACGAGGATAGCAGAGGAAGCACAGCTACTGTGTGCATCTAGGTTGTCAGGGCACGCACCTCGGCCTTGAGGAACTCCAGTTCCCCCTTGAGCCTCTCGATCTCCCGCTGCAGACGTTCAATGAGCTGGTCCCTAAGCGGGCGAGACGGTGGAATCAACGTAAACACACGGTGCAGTGCGAGCGAGTGAGCGCCGCGCACACACATACACACGCACTACGATCCCAGCGAAATCCATCCCCTCACTCCCAATACACCCCCCCCGCCCCCTCCCCCGGCACCACCAGCCCGCGATCCCCTCCAGCCCACGGGATGGCTTTTGTGAGCGCACCTCTCGTCAGGAGCGCTGCTGCTGCCATTGCTGAAGTCGAGGATATCTTCCACTTTGGGCTCCGCTGCCACCTGTCAGGAGACGAGCGTGGGATCAGTGGAGTCTCCTGAATGTCATCCGAAAGCCATCGAGCGCTGGCAGAGAGAAAGTGCAGTCAGAGACGTGGGGAGTGTGGCGAGGGGGGGAAATGAGTGCGGGAAAGGATGCGGGACACAGGAAGTGCAGGAGAGCAGGGAACATGAGAGAGTGCAGGGGCACAGGCAGTAGGACGCAGGGAATGAAGGGGATAGAATGATGCACGAGGAAGTGTGGTATACTGTAAATGCCGACATATGAACTGTAAAAGAGTGTGGGACAAGACAAGACAAGGAAGCAAACCAGACACAGGGCAAAGCGCATTATGTTTTGTATTTTTTTGTTATACCAAAGGGCTGTGCACCGGCTCCACCACCTCCGGTTCCACCAGGTCGTCAGGCTCGACGCTGTCCCCCGGGATCACCACGACTGGCTTCACGTGCTCGAAGAGGGCCGAGGCACGCAGGAAGTCGGGAGGATTCTGGGCAACGCACGCACGGTGGGGGTGATAGTTTTGCGCGCGTCGTGCGTCAGACCCTCGGCTGTGCCGCTGGGCGTTCGGTTCGCGGCGAGGCACACGGGCCAAGAAGAAAAGCCACGCACGCACGTAGCTTACCGAACTTTGTTGAAAGCACGTTTGCCTTCAGGGAGCAGTTAAATTAGCAGCTCGGAACCTGGCAGCCAAGCTGGTCAGGGCAAAACGCATCCACGCATTTCCAAAGTGATTTTTGCTCTGGTTTTGGCCAACCTTATTTTAATGAGTTTTTCAAATCGGCTGCACGACTTCATACTCAAGCGTCGTGCACAGCAGATCGTCTTCACGAGAGCCGTCATGCTCCCACGTGCCCCCACATGCACCCCTCCCTCTCCTCCGTGACTTTTGTACGGACGCGGAGAGCGAACGAGGAGCAGAAAAATATGGACGCGGGTACTCACGTCGGGCAGTCGTGGAATCTGGATGAGGCGCTTGAAGTACTGCAGGTTGCTGCAGCGGTGGAAGTAGTCCTTGAGTCTGCGGGGGAACAACATCAAGACAAGTCACGACGCACTACAGCGCGTACAGAACAATACGCAGCAACAACGACACACAACCTCCTCTACCTAAACCGCCTCAAGCCCGCCCCCCCGTACACACCCCCCTGCCCCGTAAATGACACGACTTCTGTGTGACCGCCATTCCCACTCCGAATCCCTCCCCTCTCCCCGCCGCCCACTGTGAAGGGTTTCCTGGATTAGGATGCATTATTATTATTGGTGGAGCAGTGGCGCAGTGGTTAGCGCGCCCGCACGTTGAAACCGGCGAACAGTTGGGATTGGCAGCAACGGCTAACATCAGTGGCGAGCGAAATCCAGTCAAACATCTCCGAGTTTCCTTCACCAAACCCTCACCAAGCCCGTCATCGGAGAAGTGCAGGTCAAACAGGTCCCCAATGACTTGATGAGGAACTCATCCAGCAGTAGTTCGACAAAACTGGCCGCACGTGTGCAGTACATGATGGCAACGTGAGCCCCCCTCGTTCCATGTCTCCGCGTGCACTCGTTAGCACATTGGGGAGGGGGGGAATCTGCTTCCCGCTGCCGGATGTTGCCACCAGAAGAATGTATTTTTTATTTTATTAAATTACATTAATCCAATCACACGGCCTAGGTATTAGGCAGCAGAATATTTGTGCCGGTCACAAGGCATCTAGATAATCCGTGGCCAGGCATGGAATTATATTTATACATATATGGGTGAAAGATCCCCCCCATATAGCCTTTAACAGAATGTTGGGGCAAGTGCTGTTATCGAGCATCTATTAGGGCTGGCACGGCACACGAGGTGGTGGGTGGTCAGCTCGATGCCCAGCCACCTTTGTCTCCCAGTGCTGATGTTTACACACAGCAACAGATATATTTTACTGCCCTTTCTCTATCCATCACTGGATGAAAGCCTTCCCCACACTGTCGGTCATGATGGTTGTTTGACCATACTTTACCATGCAGGTCAGTGCGGCTTGGTGTAGGCGAGAGGAGGGTACATGGGTGTAGCACGAGTTCAGATCTCACTCCCCATCAACATTAGCCATGGCAGGGAATGGACAACTTTGCGAGATTTGTTTAAGCGGGAAAACTCTAGACCAGCTTCAACTATTCCGAGGCTCATCAGCAGAGGCAGGGGGAGCTGACCTCTTGAATTGGTCTTGGAAACGTTGCCTGTGTCCGTCCAGGGTGTCCGCTGGGAGACCTTGGGGCAAAAAAAAAATGGCACACAATCACACATCAGCAACATGGGCAAGGGAGGTGCGAGCGAGCAGGTGCAAGCAAGTCAGAAAAAGCAAGCGCATAAACAAATCGAATGCAATGGCTATCGAACTCGTTCCCATTGTGCGCCTTTTCCCAAAATCTAAAAAACTTCGCTCAGCCCAAGAAACGGGCACGTTTCAGCGTGCCGTAAGATCGTGCGCGTTCGCGTGTTAAGAAGCTGTCGCTGGGTGTCCTGCGAGAGCCGAGCACCGAGTGTTGGATGGCGGATGTTGGGAGGCGGATGATGGTAGGCGTACGCTCGGAAGTGAGCCCTGGGTGTTGGGCGATGGATGTTGGTTTGCTGGTTGGCGGATGATGGGAGATGGATGCTGGGTGGTAGATATTGGGTGGGGGGTGCTGGATGCTGTTGTGGGGGATGCTGGGTGGTGCATGTGCGTTGGCGAGCGCTCACAGGAGTGAAGGCGGAAAAGCAGCTTAACGATGTAGTCGTAGAGGTGGCTGCAGTCTTGGATGGCCTGGATGAGCGGCGCCAGACGGCACTGCCCAGCCTGGGTCATTGACACGGCCTTCGACATGTCCAGCGAGTTGAACACTGCGGGGATTACAGCAACGGGGTAAAGGCGCAGCCCTGCAATTGCCTGCTCACGCCGCAGCTGGCGAGTATGGCCTCCGCTACAAAAACTCAGCGTATATAGGGATTTTGACCGACTGTTTCCAGTCTGCAAGACATCTTGGAGGGAGGGGGGGGGAGTACCGACACAGAAGTCAAGTGGATTTACAGGAGGAATGAGCCGATTTATATAGATAGTTGTTAGGTGCCTGCAGGCGATGAGTTGCGCAATGATTTCGAGAGCAATTCGATCGCTGGGGTGTGGAGCCACCTTAACAAATTAACCTCATGGCGGGACCTCGGGGTCCCATAAGCCCCCGGGCTCTGCACATAAACTGCATTGCTCACGTCATTTTATGCCTGTTGAAGGCGAACGATACGGCAATCTATTCCTCTCGACGAGCTCTACACGATGCGCTAATTCAATGTTTCAGAATTTTGTTTCTTCTGCGCGTTCAGTCCTCGCTGCGCTTGGACGATATGACAACAGAATGATCCGCGCCAGGTGGGTCGATGCGTTTATGTGCGCGGTGGGACGGAGTCGCCAAAAAACTAATGAATTAATTGCGACTTTGATTTACGTTTATTCGGGACCCCGGAGTCTCGCCATAAGGTTCAAATGTCACACGGGGTTTGGCAAGGACGTTTGAAATGCGATGAATGTCACGGAGCCATTCAATTCCCACGCTGTGTGTGAACGATGAAAAACCCCATCAGGACGGGGTTAAGACGTGTGAGCTGAAAATGGAGTGGATTTAACAGCACGCAGATGTAGGGGTGTCAGGGGAAGGATTCCCACCAATAGGAGGGGAAGTGGGACGGTGACAGGAGAAGGGGGGGGGGGAGCAGGTGAGGAGATATAAGGGAGAGAACGGGCGGGAAGAGGGGTTCGTTGGCGGGAACGAGATTGGGACGGCTGGAGACAGGTGTGGATGGGAGGAAAAGAATAAAAGACGAACCCCCCTGCAACCTTGTGTCGGCGCTCCTTTACACAAAGGTGTGCTGCTGCCACTGCTGCTGCTGCTACTTGCAAACAGCTGGCAGGAAGGCGGTGACTCCCATCCATACGCCCCTCGTGCGTGCGCACGTCATGCGACCACCACCATGTCGCATGCACCCCGGCTCCGTCGCTGTGGTCTGCTGGCCGAGTTGCCCTCGAACAAGAGATGCCTCACTCAGAATCTGCATTTTTATTTATACTGGAGGAATCCGATGAGGCTCTTTTTCACAAGATATCCAGTATATGGGCTCTACCTCGGGGAAATACAACTTCTGACATGTGCTCTCAGCTCAACGGCCGAATGTGCGGGCCCCCGCATTATCGAATTCGCACACTCTTCGTTGAGGGCCGCCATCCCCGAGGCGGTTACGAGTTTGGAGGCAAAAAAAAAAAGGTTGCATCAGCAGGCGGCAGGGTGGCCCCGCAGGCACAATGCAGGTATGTTGCTTCCACAACCACGGCACGCCTCACCCCTCTCCCCCCTCCCCTCTCCCGATGAACTCTGTTTACGGGAGGAACGCGCGGGGAACCAGTCGTATCGGTTTGCAGAGTAACGAGAAGAATGCGGTGCTTGTTCGAGTTTGCGATGGTGCTCGTTTGCTCGCCGCGTCCCCCACCGGTCCACGCGTTCCTCTTTCGGTGTGGAGGAGCGATTTCAATAAATCGTTGCCCCTCTGTGCACTTTTTAGCTTCTCGTTTCATTTACTCTGTTAACGTCCATGTGCAGATTTTAAGACAGATTGTCCATTGTCAAAACAATGTGGACATTCCACAGTGTCAGGGCTACAAACGTGAAAGAGCACTGATCCATTCTCACTTACAGACACCGACTATTAATGTTCTGATTTAAAGCTTTCGTGACTGCAGGGATTCATCTTCTTGGTTCTTTCGTTAAAGTCACGTAGAAGGGAAATAATAAAATAATAAAAATAAAACACAATAAAATAATTCTCACGACGTTTCGGCCACAACGCAAGTAACCGTCCTCAGGAGGACGGCTGAGGACTGGCTGCTTGCGTTGTGGCTGAAACGTCGTGAGAATTATTTTATTGTTTTATTATTATTATTTTATTATTTCCCTTCTACGCGACTTTACCGAAAAAAACCAAGAAGACATTAATGTTCTTTTTTATTATTTGAGTAATGTTATTATTTTAGGTTCTGTATAGGATTGTAACTGACATGTCATCAAATGTTTACTGCGTGGCTTTGTACGTCTCAAATCTCACTGCGCACTCACCTGGGTAGAAAGTTCACCAATGAATTAGTTCATGAAAGAGACTAAGTGTCAATGGGCTCTTGACATGTTCAGAAATTCAGTACACTCGGCCCTCCCCCTCTCCCCCTCTCCCACTGGAGTTTTTAATAGGTGGCAGCGGTGCGTGCCGCTTGGCTGCCATGCGCACTCACCAGTCTGGAAGAGCACGAGCTATCATTGAATATGAAAGGCAGTCGGTCTCAGAAGGACTCTCACCTGATTATAAAGTCCATGAATGAATCAATGAGTTCACGAAAGAGACCAAGATCCCCTCACAAACCGCAGGAAGGCAGAGCTCCCGTCATGCATTGCAAGTACGTCACGTGACCACCGCATTTTAATCTACTACGCTCTCAGCCTCGTCTTAGCCCTGCCTGCTACGGTGGGTTTTGATAGGAGGCAGCCACGCGTGCGTGCGTGTGTGCGTGCACATGCGATTGTGTAGATCCCCCTTCCAACGGGGCAGGTGAGCAGGTGGGTGAGCGGGCAGACAGCTTCAGCTCACCGGTCTGGAAGAGGGTGAGCTCGCATTCCATGTAGTCGAACATCGACACCGTGAGCTGGAATCTGCACGACAGCGTCAATAAGGACAGAGGGCGGGGCAGGGCGGCACCCGTGACATTTCAAAAACAGAACACTGCAGCCAAATTTTCGACCTATAAGGAATTAAAAAAAATGTTTACTCGCACACGCACGCAGGCACGAGATGGCAAACGGAGCTGCGCTATACTCACATGGTGCTGGCATCGTTACCTCCGGCCTCCTCGAGCTTGGCATCGCTCACCGCCAGATTTGGAGGAAAGATCGGATTCTGTGTGGGGTTTAGGGGGGGGGCAACAAGGATTGGTTTGTGAAACGCTGCAGCCCGGCACACACAGGGCTCGCTGTTGATCCGCGAAAGCAAATGAAAGTGGACTTTAAAATAAATAAATTGATATAAATAATACGACTCTTTGTTAATTCAACGACTGAATTTTTTTTTTTTTTCACGATTTCGAAGTAGATAAGATCTCGAAAACGGAACGCTGGGGAAACGCATTTGGGAGGCTCGTACACGCTAATCAGAGAACCACATTGAAAATTAGAAAAATGACATGAGCAGGAGATGAACAGTCCCCGCCACCAGAGTTACAAAACTTTATTAACCAGCAAATCTACCGAAACTCACCAACAGGTGCGTCATTATGGAACCGTGGTGACTTATTATTCTTACTACTACGCGTGTTTATCCAGGCAGGGGGCGATGCTGCTGCTGCTGCTGCCGCTGCTGCGTGTAATCCCAATTGAGTAATTTGCAGGTTAATTTACAGCACTGGTGATGTTTGGCCAATACCAATACATCCTATGGTTTTTTTTTTTGCTATGGGGAAGAAACCAGAGAAACCCAGAGGAAATACATGCAGAACAGGGGGAGAATATATATACCCCGCATAGAAAATAAATCATCCTAGTCGGGAATGGAACACAGGAAATTCTTGCTGCGATGGGGCAAGTAGTTACAACTGCACCACATAGCGACTGCGTCTGAAATCCCTTGCCCCAGCCGACAGTGCTGTTGACTCCCTACCCCTGTTCAAGTCCAGGCTCAAAGCCCTCCTCCGCTTCTCCCCTGCTGTGACCACCAACTGCCTCTCTCTATAAAAAAACTAAACCATACCCCACGGTTTCTGCCCGGCGACTCGAGACGCGGTCGGCATGCAGGGAGCCAACGGCACGGGCAGCTGGGGGGAGGGAGGTTCGTGAGAAGCGAGACTCGTGACCCGTCTGAGCTTGTCTCGACGGCGGGGGGGGGGGGGCCTCACCTTCTCGTGGAATTCCATCTTGGTGAGCAGCAGCTTGAGGTACACGCTCACCATCTGCCCGAAGCGGTTGTGCATTTGGCCCTGTGGTAAACAATATCAATGCGAAGGTATAAGGCGCAGGCCTGCAAGCGATCGCTCCCGCGACTGCCGCCGGAAGGGCCTCCCCCACTCGAGGAAGTCCTCGAGCACCCCCTCTCGAGGGTATTTTCCGGACCTCTTCCATGCTGGTGAACCCACACTTTGCCCCACGGCGAGCGACCTGATTTATACTGCTGCGTGTAGAGGGGGGAGTGGATTTAAGAAACCTTCCCCTTGTTACATCCACCACAGCGGGAGATCGAACCGGCGCCCTCCGGATTCCTAGCACGCTAACCATCACACCATGGCAGCATCAACCGACATTACTGTAAGGATTCAGATTTCAAAGGAGGATCCTGGATTGACAAGCTTAGCCAAATGCTAAGTGCACTAACCGCTGACACACGAGTAAGCAATGGCTGTACAGCAAGCGTATTCTTACACTTTGTCATTGATTATTGGGCAAGGCCACAATAACCTGGCCTAATTTGTGTCGTGCAGACCCTCCATCACCTGACACAGCCAAACTAATTATACGGTCACCTGCTTAAACAATCATTTTAAATGCATGCCAATAATTATTGTTTCAGCTCGCACCGCAGAGTTGAAAAACAATTTTTTCACAACTGAATTTTCAATCGAGAAGAATGACGTTTCCCTTGAAACTGCGTTAACCTTCTTAAGGACAAGACCCCAGGTTGGTCGGAATAAAATAAAGTCAGACATTTATTTTGGCCACGTTGGGTGGTGGTGTTCGGGGTCCTGACGACACAATCTGGCCAGGTCATTAAGTGGGCAGACCCAAAAAACAATTACCAATCATGATACTAGGCTGCAAAAACGCACGCGTCGAGTATTGTTCGGCACGAGTCGATACGATTCTGAGATCATTCACCGCGAGGTTGCCTAAATTTGTGGAACTGCCCAGGTCGCAAAAACAACAGCGAAGATGCGACGAGCGTGGACCGTCACTCACCCACATGCGGCCGAGATCCTTCAGGTTGGACATGCGGCGCAGCGAGTCCTGCAGCACCTGCCGCCCGTCACACAAGGGGCCAAAACCGACACAGACGTCAGGCGCGGTGGAGCACGACTGTCCTCGCCCATGCAAGTACAATCCAGGCTCAAACCTGCTTTAGCTTCCGAGAGACGACAATGAGACCGGGTGCATTCCGGGCGATTTGGGCATTTGAATGAATGGGCATTCCGGGTTATTAATAAAGTAAATAAACAAATGAATGAAAGAAGAAGTTAATGAGCGAATTAAATAGGATTTGGGCCCAACGTGTACGCATCGCACATGGTCACCCACTGACGTGAAGGCGCAGCCTCGCGATGGAGTCTTGCTCGCGTCACTTCTGCAAGAAGGGCCTCAACGAATGGACAAGGGCGCATGCGACGGCGGGGCGCGACGGTGCACGTGCCCCGTCACTCACGTTGGGGTGTCCATCGCGCAGCACCTTGTGCAGCACGTGGCAGAACTTCCAGCTGATGACGGGGCTGCTGGAGAGCGGCAGCGTGCTGGCCGTCGTCCAGAAGGTGAGCGCACCGCGCTCCTGGTGCGTGCCCATGATGCAGAGTGCGGCCAGAGTCAAGGGCGGCACCACCAACCAAACAGCCGCGGCATTATCCACGACCGTTTTCAAGTCCAACTCATTCAACAACTCATTCCTCTCCTCGCTCCCGAGTGTCCGCGAAGCAGATCGGAAACAAAAGCCCTGCAACTGGTTGCTCGCACGACTCTGGTGGACGGGCCTCCACGAGAGAGGCAGCTCTGGACAGCACCGTCGAAGGGTATTTGGTCTACTCTTCCAGGCTAATTTCTTGCGTTCGTATGTCCTATGAAGAGTGGCTATTACGGATTCAGGTGCTATTTAGCCATTCAATTGCTTTGTCAATTACCCATCCACCTTCTCATCCATCCACCCACCCATCACCCACCCACCACATTCACATGTATATTATTTTGGGCAGCGTGAAGCTGCGCGGACCATGGTTTGGTGTTCGTAAACGCAGTCGCACGCAGGACAGTCAGTCTTTCATGCTGGCCAGATGTCTCGGAAGACGTGGTAGTACCCACACTTTACCCTACCGTACGCAAACATGCCACTAACGGTGCTGCACCCATTCATTACTGCGGTGCTCGAAAATGCCACAATTACCATGAATGCCAAATTGAGTAAAAAGCAACAACATCGCCGTCCTTTGCAGCACCACTAACCTAGCAGGTATGCGTTGCTTAACGTGACAGGACACCAGAGTAAAAGCTGCGCTTACAACGCCATAGATGCACAAAAAGAACACGGAGATCATGCCTCGCGCCGACGGAAGCCGAAGGCAACAGTGGACAATCTAGATTTGAAGTTTTCGTGACTGCAGGGATCCATACTCTTTGGTTCTTTCAGTATAGTCACGTAGGTATAAGATCAAATAAATTAAATCACGACGTTTCGGGCACAACACAAGCGTCCGTCATCAGGTGGGACAACCACAGCAAGAAACAATTGCCGAAGTGGGCAAAAGGGCTGCTGTAACAAGAGGCCATATAGGTAACAGAGGGGGGAGGAGAGATAGAGAGGGAGGGGGTGTGGGGTATGGGGAGTGGAGTGCTGCAAGTTAGAGGGATTAGAGCGAGCAAGGCACAAGCACGACAAAATGCGAAGGGGGGGGGGAGGAGAAGTGGACGTTGTCACGAGCGAGACAAGGCAGGGGTGGCCAGGGGGGGGGTCTTGCTTATATGGAAATTAAAGCTGACTTAAGGAGGGGTCGGAGGGGGGGGGGTAAAAGGGAGACGTGCAGCAAATGAAGACGAGGAAAGGAGGAGATATTGGGGGAAAGGAGGAAGAAGAAGACCAACAGATAGGAGATGTAAGGGTTAGAAGAGAGGGAAGAGGATGAGTCCACAATGAGGAGTAGAGAGGGGTGATATGGAGATGAGATGAAGACGATGAAGGAGGGATGTGCAGGGTACTCCACAGTGCGACGGTGCTATCATCTGGCCATCGCGGTTAATTGGAGTAGTCCGATGCGGCCGTCGCCCCTAGGGGAGCGAGCGAGTCTTCACGCCAAGCATTTTCTTTCCCCACCGTCAAGCGCGGACGGTCACATCCTACTTCTCACGCCGCAACCGTGGGGGGGGGGGGGGGGGAACCCTCACCAACAAATATCAAACCACAAAAGTTGCCCACCTCCTTCAACCCAACCCGCACGCATCCACAGGCCATGGGTGCCCTTTGAATTTACGACAGTGGCCTGGAGACCTCTCCAGTCGAGTAATTGGGAAGACCCATGGAACTAGCCACGCTTGAAGCTGACTAAACCCGATGCAAAATATGTCCACCCTTGAACACCTAGGGGCTCTGTCGGTGGGGTGGGTCCGCTAAATGGTTTACAGGAGGACCAAGTTCCCTTTCATCGAGCCTTTCTCGATTTGACCTCCTCAACCCCTTCCCGTGTGGTTCCCAATCGTCGTGTCCTTAAAGCCGTCTTCCTTATCTCTTTCTGGCTTCTCCTATAATCTTCCTAAATCCAATCTTCCATACAGCAGGCTTAATGTCCCAGGTCCCTTTTGCAAATGATACTCCCTTCTGGGTCTCTTGAGTTCTCAACCAGTTCAACAAAAAAACTCAAAATCGACTCCAAAGTTGAACTTATTAATATTCCTCCCCCCTAGCCCCCCCACTCTCTCCTGCGGTCCGATTCCTGCTCCTTAAGTAGAGCGCTTGTCACGGTTGCATTGCGTGCGAGAGCCGGTACCAGAAGTCTTTGCGTTGTGGATGTAAAAAAAATGTAATCTAGTTTCTGTATGGAAATTTTATTTTTAAACACACAGCTGTATGTAAATCAGCAACGGGTGACTCATGAACAATTACAAGAGCCGACTCAAGGATGCAATAAAAATGCTCCAACAGCCCGTGTAGGATTTTACAGCCACAATGTCAACACATCGTTTGTGCGAGCCTACCGTTATAGATTTCCATTAAGCAACCTGTAATTAAACATACAGGAGGCACAAAGATAGCCTTAACGGACTGTAGGATGTGCACCGTAAAGGACAGGCAAACGGGACTGGCTTGTAAAAATTGTTAAACTGAAATTAGGTTATGCTCGAGAAGCAATGAAAATGCCTTTCCACATCGTTAAAATAGACGAGTCAAGCCTCACGGGTGTCATTCAAGTCCGATTAAACTTACGACAGACATTGAACTCGTATTGCTAAAAACTAGTCTACGTACATACTTTTTACATTCCATCAACAATCCACTGCTGGATGAAGGCCTCCCCATGCCAGTGTCGGTCACGGAGAGTTGTTTGACCACACTGGCAGTGCAGGTTGGTGAAGAGGGGAGTGAGCAGGACTGGTTATGATATCACTCACTGCTGATGTTAGAGGCGTAGCTGTGGCCGGGAATGGAACCCATGTCATCAGACATTCTCACGCAACGCACGTATACCATTGGTAAGAATCGATGCAGCAATACACTGCCAACAATTCTATTTCGTTTTTATACATTTCAAGTTTAACTTGTTTCACCGGGTAAGAGCTCAGAAGAGACAATGATGAGTCTCAATTGCAAGCGTGACCTGGGGGCGTGAGTCTGCCAGAAGCAGGGGGCGACGATTGCTGCCGTGTGTTGTGTGTGTGGCTACAGGTCCCCGTGCGAGTCTATAGGTTTGTGCGTGTCAATAACATTTGTTTTTTGACGTAGCACCAAAATGTGACCGCATCTCGAGATGCTTTATAGAAATAGTGGGCACCATTTCCTTTATAGAGAGGGAGACAGAAGGCACTTGGTCACAGCAGGTGAGAAGAGAGAGCCATTAAGCCTGGACTTGAACAGGGGCAGGGAGTTGACAGCACGGATGACTGGGGGGGAAGTGAGTTTCAGAGTGTGAGGTCAACAGAGGAGAATGAGCGCTCTCAATTGAGTAATTCGCGGTGCAATTTTCGAATTTGGCAAATTCGGACCCCGACGCCGCCGCCGCACGATGGCCCACTCCTTCGAATTACGCCACGGGATCTCTTAACGTCCACCGAGAGCGAAGCTGATGGCGCATAGTCGTAGCAGCATTACGGTTAGTATACACCACAGTGATAAAAAAAAAAACTTTAAAAATCGCGATGGCCGCCAAATTCGAACCACGAAGTTCTGAACCGCGCCGAGAGTGCGCTGCTGCTGGGCCACGGCATCCGAGGCATTGTGCTTCTTGTATTTGTGCCACGTGTGCACACACGCGGGTTTCAGTATCCGTCCGCACAGGTGGTTTCCGGTATGCGCACTGTGCGAGTTGCGCACCCATCGCGCTGGAGGGCTCGAGGCGGTAAGACGACGCCAACACGTGACGAGCACGTAATGACGCCAAACCGGCGAGCGGCGGGTGAATGGAGGCGTCGCCATACCACCGAACGCAGAGTAGCCGGCGCTAGGAAACCAACAAATGCAGTCCTCTACAGTGCAACGCTATTGTTGTCCCAGCGCACGCACGCTCACACGCACGACCAAACACACCTGCACTTAGGAACAAATGAAACCTTCTACCATTGCCAGGTGAACGCCCGTCGTCAAGACGATGCGATGTGGGTTTTACGTAGCGTCTCAATATGCAGCGCACAACAGAGGGCGCATTTATTTTATAAAGGAGGCAGATAGTCACAGGTGCGAAGCTACAGGTCCCCGTGCGAGTCTATAGGTTTGTGCGTGTCAATAACATTTGTTTTTTGACGTAGCACCAAAATGTGACCGCATTTCGAGATGCTTTATAGAAATAGTGGGCACCATGTCCTTTATAGAGAGAGGGAGACAGAAAGGCACTTGGTCACAGCAGGTGAGAAGAGAGAGCCTTTAATCCTGGACTTGAACAGGGGCAGGGAGTTGTGACAGCATGGACGACTGGGGGGGGGGGGGGGGAGGGAGTTTCAGAGTGTGGGGTCAACTGAGGAGAATGAGCGCCCTCATATCTCATTTACAAGCGAGACCCCAAGGAGGGGAAAAAAACTAATGATAAAGTAAGCTCCACCTATTATTTTTAATGGAAAATTACAACAACCAAATGCAATGTAGCACGAGCAGGAGCAGTGGTGCAGCGGTTATCGCACCGCACTATGAACCCAACATCCTCAGTTTGACACCTGGGTCACAGCTACCATCAGTGGTGAGCGATATACGAATCATTACTAGGCCTTCTCCACTACCCACCTTCAACAACCCACACTGACCGGATTCGGGAAGTATGGTGAAACAATCCCTCATGACCGAGACTGTGGGCACACTGCACTATGTACCCAGGAGCCCAGAGTTCAATTCCCCGCAATTTATAATATAAAGGGCGATTGATATTGGAACCGATTGACGTGTCCCCTCCCCCACAGCTCTTCACCAAACGGCACTGGCCAAAGTAGCTAAGTATGGTCAAACAAACCCCGCCGGTGACACGCACCATGGGGGAGATGGAGACAATTCACCCTGCAGTGGATTGACAATGCCTGAAAAATATTAAATTTTTATTAAAAATAGAAGAAATTCCACCCGTGAATAGATGCTCACAAACACACAGCAACGTGGCAGCTCGCGGAGAGATAAGAAGATGAAATACAAAGCTCCTGCACTGCGAGCGTGAGGTGCGGCTACTGCAGATTAAAATATCTACCCACATACCACAACCCCGCTCACCACGCCACCCCATCTCACTTCCTCCCTCACCACCATCCACCTCTCTTACACGCCACCCGCATCGCTCCTCTCCACGTCACCCACCTCTCTCCCCAACCATTCACAGCTCCCTTCACCTCGCCACATCACTCTCACCCTCACCCAGCAAGCAAAGACTCGTCAACATAAAGACAAAGATCCCCCCTGTATAGTCCACACCAGCTGTCGGGGAAAGTGCTGTTAGCGAACATCTACTTCAGCCAACACTGTGCACGAGGAGGGTGGTGTGGCTAGCACCACGCCTGGCCGCCTTGGTCTCCCCAGTGCCGACGTATATACAATCACACGAGACGTATATACAATCACACGAGATTCTCGTCTAAGGCTGAGCCGACCATATGGAGTCCCAGGGGACCGGATCAGATATTGTTCACCGCCGATGCGAGCCGTGGCCGGGAATGGAACTCCCAACGTGTCAACAACTGCACCACCGATCGTCAGCACACACACACTGACACACACGCACAGGTGAACCATGCTAGCACACCCGAAGCCGGTAGCAAGGATATTGCGTGCATGCTTTTCTTTGACCGGCACCTCCTGTGTGTTCACCGCCTTGTTGATGCTCGTCAGCTGTGGAGGGAGACACACACACACACAGGGGTGGACAGTGCATTTGAGACTCGTGGCAATACCTGCTGGGACGTGGCATGGGTTACAATGAGCGGATGAGAGGAGCAGACAGGATAACAGTAGGCAAAGCAGTAATTAATAATAGGTATGTTTACACCGTTTCACATACATTGGAGAAACTGTAATGCCCAACAGCTTTCGTGCAAGGAGGCACAGGAAACCACAGACTAGGAAGGCAGCCAGAACCAACAATTGCCCAAGGTCTGCGGTCCTATAGTGATGTTTGGCCAACTTCAATCATGCTTGTACTGTACTTCTGCGGGCAAATCGCAGCTTCTCTCGAAAGTGACCCCAAGCAAACACAGCAGCCTGGAGGGTCAATGTTTACAGAAGACGTCATCAACACCCCTGTTGACCCGACACAAACTTTACTTTAACCACACGCACTGAAAAAATAACTTTGGAATTTTTAATAAACTCTGCAATTTCTATTTATGATTAATACATTCCCTAAGACAATGTTATTATAAGGCATTTTGTTTAAGACTGACACTGCTAACTATAGTATATTTAATGATTTTCATTATTTACCCAGGAAAGCATTACCGGGTTTCAAGATATCTTTTTAGAAGGGCATGTGCTACAATCGGGACATTCGACCAATTGCATCGATGAGTGATGGGCTTCGCACACAGATGGATTCAAGAATCCATAGCTGGACACATTCGTTCCCCCATGTTTGTTCATCTAAATTTGAACGACTCCACCTTAAACGTTTTTTAAATCTACGAGATGTTCAAGTTTTAGGTTTAAAATTTAATTTTATTGAACCAGATGAGAACTCAAGAGACCAGGACAGAGGATTCTCATTTGCAAAAAGGGACCTGGGGCATGAGCCGGCTGCCAGTAATGGACGATAATTGGTATGCATTCATCCCAATTGATTAATTACAGGGACTCCTCTACTTACGAACATTTGACTTACGAACTTTCAGAGATAGGAACAAACCTGTCCGTATGTCAAGTTTCCCGTTTGGACCGAGAGTCGTAAGTTCAATCGCCGCATAATAGATGGCGGTGGTGGCATCTACATCTGCAGAACGTGAAGAACCAGTGGCATCTACATCTATATGAGATGATACTACTTTTTAAGTCAATCCCCCGTGTTTACTTTACATGCCGTACAACATGTTTGGAATCATCTTCTTGGTTCTTTCGGTAAAGTCACGTAGAAGGGAAATAATAAAATAATAATAATTAAACATAATAAAATAATTCTCACGACGTTTCGGCCACAACGCAAGCAACCGTCCTCAGGTGAAGAACAGGTCTGTCGGAAAGACGTCTTTCGTCGTGAGAATCGTGAGAATTATTTTATTATGTTTTTTTTAATTTCCCTTCTACGTGACTTTACCGAAAGAACCAAGAAGATGAATCCCTGCAGTCACGAAAGCTTTAAATCGAAATGTTTAGAATCGACAGGAGTAAAGTTGGACTTACGAACAAACAGACTTACGAACAGACATTTGGAACCCAACTCGTTCTTAAGAAAGTAAAGAGTCCCTGTAGCGGGTAATTTTGGAATTTGGCAAATTCAGAACCTGCTCTTAAGCCAGGCTACAATTGTCACAGATGCTGTACAATTGTCAACAAAAGCCGTGTAGTGGTGGCTACCCACGTGACCTGTAAACTAGCACTGCGAAGGCGAGGGTGGGTGGATTGTACCAATGTTGCGAAACTCTCTTCCCCTAGGCGTTGAGCTGCCATACCCCTGGCTTGCCAGGAGAACATGGTTAAAGAAAAGCGAAGAATAATATCATCTGGTTTCATCTGCATGGGACAGAGTGGTCTTCTCACACGTGTGAGGTTTTTCTGGGTGCTCCAGTTTCCCCCCCACATGATTAAAACGCTCTTTAAATTGGCCAAAAACATTTTACGATATAAACTGCAGAACATGGGTAATTGGCTGCCGCCTTTCAGCTTGCCTGCAGTTTCACAGCTAATGTGAGATGCCAGTTGAATATTTCGAATGACGATGCTATATATAAAATATTAAACATCATTATGATATCCTAACAAAGACAGCTTTGCTACAATTAAAAGACGATGATATTTTAAGTCTGCGGCAATTGTTAGCGCCTTTAGTAGCATGGGGAAAATCACAAAAACCCAATTATACACAACACATATAATTCTATAAAATTACGATGAGCTAAAGAATCCAGAGTAACCAGCGTATCTCGACATCAAATCCAACGCCCTCTCTAAATAATGAGAAAACCCATCAGAACAGAAAAATGCGTGCAAGCTGGATGCCATTAACTTGAATCAACATAAACAACAGTGTGCTAGTCACACACAACGGCTGTGTTTATTTGGGGACAACAACATGACGCCACGTGCAGCTCTGACAAGGCGAAGAGCGTTTCCCATGCAGTGCGATGGTCACCTGGCCGGCTTGCAAGGCATGATGAGAGTTGGGCATTCCTGCCGTTTACATCGCTACACCCGTGCACGCAACGCTTCATCCGTTACCACCGATGCCACTATTGTGAATACTCTGGAAGGAGTAGTAACACGAAAAGCCCTAAGACCAGGGCTTATGGAGCAATGGTTGCGACAACGAATTTTCACACACGCAGGTACAATAGCCACATCAAGGCTGTCGCTGATAAAAGCTTAGCAATGCAACATCGATGGCATTTCATAATTTTTTAACCGAAGGAATGAAATTGCGTGGAGTGGTGGCGCAGTGATTTGCGCACCGGTCACGGCAAACATCAGTGGCGAGCGATATCTGCCGCCGGTCCTGGGCACCCAGATTTTCCCCAACTCGCATTGACCAGCTTAGGTGAAGTATGGTCAAACGACTCCCACAACTGGCGCGGCAAAGGGGAAGGAAGCCTTCATCCAGCAGATGCTTCACAATTGTGACATCCGATGCTAATTATAATAATAATACGCGTGAACTAAAGCTTGCCCAACGTGAAGTGTGCAAAATTATAGTAATTTGTGCGGCTTGTGAAACCACGTGGTTACGCTTGCGCTAGGCCCCCGCTGCACGAGGTTTCCTCTGCCACCAGTGGGAAATAAAATAAAAACCCCACGATCACTCCTCCCCATGGCTGCTATAAATGTCCACGAATTGTTACAATGAATATCACGTCGCGGTCTGCTTTTCGCTTGCAAGTGTCAGATTTACTGAAATACACCCGCCCTTGGACGGGCAAAAGGCGAGTTTATTATATTTGAAGCTTTCGTGAGTGCAATGATTCATATTCTTAGGTTTTTTTCGGTAAAGTCACGTCGGTAACAAACATTAAAAAGCAAAATAAAATAAAATAAAAATCACGACGTTTCGGAGGCAACACAAGCATCCGTCTTCAGGTGGTACCATCACAGCCACGACAGCCGATTTTTATTTTATTTTATTTTGCTTTTTAATGTTTTTTACCTACGTGACGTTACCGAAAAAACCTAAGAATATGAGTTTCATATAATAGGTGACAAGATCTAGATTTTGACACAGAGTCTGTACGTGTACCGGTGGGTGTCCTGAAGCTTTCTTCAACCACCGGGGGATTGCCCCGGCCAAACCAGGACGCTAGAGTAGCCCTCACACACAGTCTCCTCATCTCTCACGGTAATTAAATGCTGCAGTAAAACCCGTTGCGTTTAAACGCCAACGGGCCAACGTGAGACACAGCAACATTCCAGAGCCAGGTATAAAAAAGCCCCTCCCCTCCTCGCACGGTAGAACCCAACAACAACATTACCACCACAATTATGTAATATATCGTGTATTTATTAGCACTCCCACTCCAACAATTCCATTCAAATTGTGCCATCAGTCTTATGTCACCAGACAAACAAAAACACTGCACCACCCAGTATTACACAAGCCCCTTCAATAGGCCCTTTTACCCACACTGGGGAGGAGGCACACGTTTTCATTGCCTGCATATACTGTCTGTCGCTTGCAAATAAAACAGAAACCTTACATTTTTAAAGCTAGAGTAAGTCAAACGAAGTGGGGAAAACCCCAATGATAAACATGTATTTTTATACTCATTAATTTGTATTTTTCGCACAAATAAGAGCATTAACACGTTTGGATAACTGCACGTGTGGTAAATGTTATGTTGGGCAAGCAGGACAAATGATCAGCACGAGGCTAAAGAACATCAGATAAATATTAAATGATCCCAAATACAACTGTCAGCAGTAGCAGAACACGCGTTCCAACAAGGACATTCAATTGATTTTTATAATGTTGAAGTTTTGTGCAAAACTAGCTACGACTGGCCAAGACTAATTAGAGAATCGATCGAAATTGAAAGAAATTAAAATAAACTTTAACCGTTCTGATAGCTACCGCCTTAGTGCTGCGTGAAAGCGAATCATCACATGAATAATGTACTTTGCCTCAGTAATCCCCCCCCCCCCACACACATTGTGCAAGAGCACAGCTGCGTGGTCAACACATCGACGCCTTTATATAAAGAAACGAAACAGTAAGACTTCTCCGCAAATCTGGCTGCCGCCTGATGAAGCTAGTTGTAATTACTATCGTACTCCGCAAACATTGTGGCTTGGCTCTCCAACACACGACGGTGTGCTGTATTAGTGACGAATTGGCACGTTCTGTTTACGTGTCGGGTGGTGGAGGGTTTTAACGACACATTTATATATTTACGCGATCGAACCCAAAAACCTCTATTATGGATGATATTGGTCGTGAAAGCTTACCACGTGTTAAACTGACGCTTGGATAACCGCGAGTAATTGAACAAGATCCAGCCTTAGGTTCTCCTGATATCGCGACAGATCAGATTGGCTTCGCTGCAATTGCACGTGATAACTAGCACACTGGAATCAACGGCCATCGACTCGGCTGCAAATGTGATCAAACGGTTTCACCCAAAATTTGAAGGACGCGTCAACACCCGCAAAACCACAAAGCATCGGACGGCAGATCTAGAGGTCTCTTACACCAAATG